CCTATGGACAGAAAAGAGACCCATGCGGCTGTGTGGGCCCTTAGAGAAGGAGAAAGAGGCCCTCCCCCATTCCACCCCCACTGCCACAGGCGGACACCATGCCCGGGTTTCCACGGAGCTGCCTGACTGCCCCAGACCGGGGTGGCGGGAGGGCAGACTCCCAGGCCCACGCCTCGCTACATGCTCAGAATCCATTAGGTGAGCTGACGACAGACGCCTCAGCATCCCTGCCTGTGCGCACACCCCGGACGGGGCCGGTGGCTGGCCGGACCCATTAAATGTGAGAGAACCAGCCCAGCAGAGAGCCCACAAATTAGAAGTGCAGGAAACCTCAAATGATGTGCAAAAAAAATTGTCAAGGTTACAAGAATTTTTCCATCCTTTTGCTTCATAACTCAGCATTTCTGATGGGGGTGATTTATGAGCTGGGGGACCTGGCAGGGGGACTAGGGGTGGGGAGGTCTGTGAGGCTGAGTGGGGAGAATGGGCAGGAGGGCAGCTTCCTTTGGAGGCTCTGGGATTCCCGAGGCTCGGCCCCAAATAACCTGGAGCCAGACTTTGGAATGGGATCAGGCAGGAGAGCCAGATTTCAAATCTGGAAGGAGACTCAGCCCCAAGGCCCTGGAGGCCCCTGCTGGCTAAAGGGGCCAGGAGCCCAGAGGAGGTGCCCAGAGGACTGGGCCACCCCTTCCTCCCTCCTCGCGCATCCTGCAGCATCGGGGCTCAGCCCTCATCCTTCCCATGCACTTGTGACTGTCTTGGCCTCCTGGGGCCAGAGCAGGCCTCAGCCCTGCCACTAAGCTGGGGAGGGGTGGCCTTCACCTATCCCACGGGCGCTGGAGAGGGACCTGTGGCGTCCAGGCCTGCGTTCCCAACTCCAGGACCCTGCAGGTCTTGGAGCAGGCACAGAGACCCTCCCTCTGGCCCCTGACACAGCTCAGGTTCCAATGCCCAACCATGATGGCAGACACAGGCCTGGGCCCTCTCCCCACGCGGGCACTGCTGGTTCAGGGCCCCCAGACTGGGATCTCTGCCTTCTCTGGAGGAAAGTGCCTGCAGCTCACTTGACGCTGCTCAGAGGAAGGGTTTCAGGGAGAAGCGGTTTCCTCCGACCCTCGGCGCCTACCAGGAGGTAACTCCCACCCCGGGACCAGCCAAATGGTCAGGGGCTGGGGGACCAGGTCTTCTGGGTTGAAGGGGAGGGGCATTTCCCAGGAGTCACCGGGAGGGAGGCTGTTGGCCGGGGTGGAAACACACCGGAGCTGCACCCGGACAGGGACAGGGACAGATCGGTGTCCGTGTGGCTGAGTGACTGGCCCTTCACACATGCTTGAGAGACCCGGAGCGGTTTGCCCGGCACAGGGAAGAGTTAGGACAGGGGCCAACCTACAGAAAAGAGAGAGGTTGGTCGGACGAGGACTGAGCGAGCTCACTGGAAGGCAGGGTTTGCCCATCCAGAAGGCGTTGCCCGTGGTGCCATGGGGTCACGGACAACCAGGCCGCCAGCAGCGCGGTGGGCTCCTGGGCACACAGGGGTGCTTGCAGTGGGGTATGCTGGTTCACAGACGGCAGGCATGGGGGGAGGGGGCGGGGGCAGGACCCTGCAGGAGCCCAGCACCACAGGCAGTTTGGGTCCCTCTGCTCTTCCTCACCTACCCCCACGGGCACCCGAAGGGTCAAGCACCCTCTTTGGGGTGAGAGAGACAGGGGGTCAGCAGAAGAGTTGCCCCCCATGTGGTACAGAGCTCCCTTCCTGGTAGAAAGCCAAGAACTCTTTGGGGAGGGAGCCTGCAGGACAGAGTCCCTGCCCGATGTCAGGGGCTTGGCCTGCGACCCCCAAGTCTGCGTTTGAGACCCGCATCCCAGGACGTTCCCATGCGGGGCAGTGTGGGGAAGACAGACGGGAGAGGAGGGCGTGCAGAAAGGTGGCGCAGAAGGACTCGGAGGGCAAGGCCCCCCAGGGAGGGTGCAGGCACGGGGAACTGGGGCCTCTGGTGGGGGAGGTGGGCCCTGCAGGCTGCCTCGGGCCACTTCCTCATTGGGGCTGGTTTGTCTTTTCCCAAAAACACAACAGACTGCCCCCCACCCCCACCGGAGTGCCCCTCACACACTCACACGCACACTCACCCATGAGCAAACGGGATGGAGAGGGGCTTCCAAGCACTCAGAGCAGGGGTTAGCTGGTTAGTTAGGGATTACTCCTGGCAACCACTTGCGGAGACGGCCTCGAGCCGGTCAAGGTGAAGGAACAGGCCTGAGGCTACAAGTAGGCCCCGAGGGGCGGCAGGCAGGGGGGTGGGGGGCAGAGCCGGCAGCCAGCACCTCTGTGCCGTGGGCGCGGGTGGACAGAGACGGAGGCCGTGGGGTGGGCAGCCCGCAGAGCCCGGGCCGCCGCGGCAGGGGGAGTGGGTGCACGTGTTCTGGCCACTCAGCCCCCCGCCCCCCCTGCGGCAGAGGAAGGCACTGCTGCTGCCCCATCAGCCGAGGTGCCTCGAACCACAGGTTTTGCTTCGTGGGTCTTCTCTGCGGGTTTCCTGCAGCTGGGGTGGGAGGCATTAGTGCCCAGGGAGGGGCCCCTCCCATGTGGGCCTGCGGTCCTCCCCCTGCCGGCCGGCCCACGGTGGCCTCCTGATGCCCCCCGTGCCCCCTGGCGCCCCGAGGGTCTAGACACAGGCGGCAGAGGGCTGGGGGCTGGACGGAGGGCTTCTCTGTGCCACGCCGCCTCTCCAACCCCACCCGTCCATCTCTGTCTCCCCCCTGGCTAGGACTCCTGGCCCCTCCCCCCTCTCTCAGAATTAGGCCCATTTGGGAAAAGCCCCCCCAGAAAGGAGAATCACAGATCCGAGGCAGCCAGGTTCCAAGTCCCTTCCGGATCAGCCTCTGGAGACGTCAGCCAAGCTGGGCCCAGGCCTCTCGGCTCTGAGACTTGTCGCACAGGAGGGTGCAGTTTCCGGGAGCCCTGCGTGTGCAAGGGCGGACGGAGGAGAGGCAGGTTCTGTGCATCCTGCAGCAACACTCTGCCTCCCAAAACCGTGTCTCCTCGTGGCCCAGAGGCCAGGCGCGGCCCTTGGCCATTCAGAAAGTGTCAGTGGACATCTGGGCAGCGTTGGAACTGGTACAAAGCATCCTGAGTCGCTGGTCAGAAGCCGCTTCTCCAGGCCTCGGGGGGACAGCCTCTTGCCCTTCCCAGGTCCTTATTATTCAGAACAGGCCCTTGGGACACGCTCCAGGGATCAGAGGCTACGGTGCCTGGAATCGTTCTCCTTGGTCTTTGCTGCGACAGGTCACTACCCCTGCCCTGACTTTACCAGGTGCTCACCAGGACACACCTGCCCACCTGGACACCCCTGCTCACCAGGACACACCTGCCCACCTGGACACCCCTGCTCACCGGGACACCCCAGCTCACCAGGACACCCAGCTCACCAGGACGCACCTGCTCACCAGGACACCCCAGCTCACCAGGACGCACCTGCTCACCAGGACACCCCTCCTCACCAGGACACCCCAGCTCACCAGGACGCACCTGCTCACCAGGACACCCCTCCTCACCAGGACACCCCAGCTCACCAGGACGCACCTGCTCACCAGGACACCCCTCCTCACCAGGACACCCCAGCTCACCAGGACGCACCTGCTCACCAGGACGCACCTGCTCACCAGGACACCCCTGCTCACCGGGACGCACCTGCTCACCGGGACACCCCAGCTCACCAGGACACACACCTGCCCACCAGGACACCCCTGCTCACCAGGACACACCTGCTCACCCAGGACACACCTGCCCACCTGGACACCCCTGCTCACCAGGATACCCCTGCTCACCAGGACATCCCTGCTCACCAGGACACCCCAGCCCACCAGGACACCCCAGCTCACCAGGACACCCCTGCTCACCAGGACACCCCTGCTCACCAGGACGCACCTGCTCACCAGGACACACCTGCCCACCTGGACACCCCTGCTCACCGGGACACCCCTGCTCACCGGGACACCCCAGCTCACCAGGACGCACCAGCCCACCAGGACGCACCAGCCCACCAGGACACCCCTCCCCACCTGGACACCCCCTCCTACTTTGAGGCTTCAGCCCCTCCCTCGTACCCTCTAAGAGCTGGGGCTGGACTTCCCAGGAAGTTGTCCCCAGATGCTGCTGGCTCCCAGGCTCTGGAATCAGAACCTGGAGCAGGCACTGAATAGAGCAGGTGTGGGGATGGGAGGGGACCCAGCTGCAGCTTCCCCGCAGGGTCCAGAGGTCCAGGGGCATCCCTCTTCAGCAAGGAGCATTCAGGTCTCCTAGTAAATGACCCGTTCAGAGATGCACACCCTAAGAAGCACGTTCAGAAATCAGTGGCAAGAACAAAGTTAATAATGCCAGTCACAGGCGTGCTGGCCGCCGAGGGTGTGCTGAGAGGCCGGGCCTCTGCAGGTCCCAGGTGTCAAATGGAAACTTTCCACCTTTAAGAAAAGGGCATGTTTTTCTTACGTCGGGGTTATGTGCATGCTAGTGTGGGCATGCACACGCGCGCACACGCACATAGGCGTACATATGCACACTCACACCGATTCATACGCAGCCACACACCCCAACAACACCTTTACATTCTAGAATGTTTTTCTGCAGCCCAACGCCCCAACTCCCCTGACAGAAGGCTCTGTTCTTAGACGCAGTGGCCTCTGCTTTCTCACATGTGGGACGGCTCTGTTGGGGTTTCTTGCAACCCTGGGGGCTCCCTTCATCACCAGGCCAGGGCAGCAGTCTGCTCGGTGAGCAAAAGGGCCATCCTGCCGCCTCTCTGCTGGGCTCTCAGAGGCTCCTGGGATGGGCTGCTGGGTGGGACAAGGACCTCACCATTGCCCAGGGGGTGCTGAGGCCCAGATGCTGGGCTGCCTTCCCACGGGGCCCGAATACCTGGTCCCTCATTGGACAAACGCGGAGTGTGCAGACTCTCGCACATAGGATGCCTCTGACCCTCCCCGGTTCTCTCTCCCCCCTCCAGATCTCCGAAGACCTGAGCACTGAGAGGCTCTGCATGGATGCTGGTCAGGCAGGCTCCGGCAGCTGGCTCAAGTACATCCGGGTGGCGTGCTCCTGCGATGACCAGAACCTCACCATGTGCCAGATCAACGAGCAGGTAGGTGCAGAGTTTGCACACGGGCCCTTGGAGCGGTCCTTGGAGGGGCGGGGGGCTCGGGCCCCAGACCAATGAGAGGGGCCTGCCGAGGTGAAGGGTCGGCTGCAGCTCTGCCAAGGACTTTAGCCCAGCCCTGGCCCACGGCGGGGGCAGCGATTTGAAACTTGGCCAGCGCTGAGTTTCCGGGAGCTCAGCGATGCCCCACGGTTGCTCCATCAGAGACCTCAGCTGGCAGCTTGCCAGGGCTCAAGAACCAAAAGATGGTGGTTTCCATGAAGGAAAGCCGCGGGAGCGGCAGGTCCTGAAACCACAGGGGTCCCCTTCCCTGCTCATGTTGCCCCAGGAAGGGGTGCAGAGCCGGCCGATCGCTTATGAACTGTTGTCTCTGGGGCTCGGTCTGGCCAAGCTCTCTCAGAAAGGGTCAGCACTGCCCTCCGGGAGCGCCCTGTGATCCCTGTGGCTTCCCAGCCAGCCTGCGGAGGGAACCGGCCTTGTTTGGGCAAAAAAATCCTGGCCCCACTGGTAGCCAACTGATCTTTCCTGAGCTCGGTGGCCCTGACTTCAGCCCCTGGCCCCACCAGGGCCAAGGGACACCTCACTTCTGCTGCCAACCCTCCTGAGGTCGAGGACCCCGCTCAGCACGCTGCATCCATGCTAGCGATGGTCCGTGCTGCCCTAGGACCACAAGCACTGCTGCGTGAGTGGAGCAGGATAGAAGATGCCATATGCAGAGTTTCTTTCGACCAAGAAGGCCACACATCCCCAGTGCTGGGAGCTCTTAGTCTATGTCTTTAATTACAAGTTTGCAAGTGGCCCCTGGAGCCTCCACCCTCCAAGAGCCAGGCCCCTCGGGCACATTTCCACCGAGCTCCCAAAGCGCTGGGCTCCTCGGGATGTTGGGGGCGCCCAGCCTCTCCCATCAGAGCAGTTTGCTTTTGCCTATAATATCTTGGGGTTACACATGAGATTTCATCTGCAAAAGGGATTCCACTGCTTTCAAAAATGTTTTCAGAGACCACATAACAAAGGGTACATTCTCCCATCGCCTGTGCAAACCATTAAAAGCGGTTCGAGGCTCTTGACTTCAGAGAAACAGTTTTGCATTAAGAAACACAGAGAGCACACACCACGGAGGTCCCTAGGACCCCCATAAGCTGCCCTCCGGCTCTCCCTCTTCTGCTCAGGCTCCTTCTCAGCCCTGGGGCCCAGCCTGGATTGAGCAGATTCCTGCTGGACACAAGCTGGTGCTTGCTTCACAAACCGGTGAAGTTTGAATCCACCGCTGCTCCTGGGATGTCTACAACTTGTACTTAGAACCCAGCATTTTGAAAATTAGGTGGGTTTTTTTCCGATTACAAAAAAATATTGCAGAAATTAAAGCAAAAGAAGAATCATAAAAAATTAGAACTTAAAAAAATACTTTTCCTTCCTCCAAATGAATGTGAAATGTGAGTGAAGGAGAATCGGATGTAGGCACGTGGAGAGATGTGCTATCCAATGCCCCTTCCTCTGTGAACTGCGGTGTCCTCGGTCGTGTGTCCGGAAGCTGGGGGGCCGTGGAAGGAGCGCTGTGGGGCCAGCCCCGGGAGGGCACTTTTGTGAGATACAGAATAGAGTAACGAAAGATCCGGATTCTTTATTTAAGAAAGATGTTTGCTAGTTTGAGCCAAACTTTAGTAGCAAAGTAGGTACCTTTTTGTGGCCAGCTTCTGGAAAAGCAAACAGATGTGTGAGCTTCTCAAAGAGGGGCCTGTCTTCAAACATCCTTGTTTTATTATTAAATTTCAGGGGAGCGTGCATGTCCGCTCCACATGAAATGGACTGCTTTGCAGCAACGTCTTTCCATCTCTTTCCACCAGGGGATAGATACTTTCTGCTGGGACGGAATGATAGTCCTTAACTCTTACTGATTCTCTTAGCCCCACTTTGGTCCCCCAACGCTTACTGTTCCCAAGGGTCCAGCATAGGGTCAGAAATGCTCCCGGCTCTTTTACTCAAACCCAATATGACACTGAAAGTCCTTCAGACCCCTCCCCACCTGCTGGATGTTTCTCTCCAGCACGGCCTCTGGGGATTAACTATCCCTACTTCAGCTCACAAGCTCAGCAGGAACTTGGGGTGCCCATTAAGCATATGCAACGCTGACATCACCCGAAGCATCGAAATTGTTCTACCCGGGGCATTTCAGATCCCCAGCCCTCTGAGGGAGAGAGGAGCCCCCCACCCTTGCATCACCTCTGAGGACCATGCGGCTGCTCGGTGTTACAGAGCAATGAGATGCCCGCCAGCGTCCCTCCCAGGGAGGCGCACCTGTAGGCTTAACCAGCCGCGTGGAGTGGCCGCCAAGTCACGCAGGGAAGCAGGAGTAGGGGAGATGCAGGAGGCTGGCCGCCCGGGCACCAGGTCAGGAGGTGCTCAGAAGGCTGTCAGTTGCCTCAATTTTCATCCCAAAGCCTTGCCTTTGCGTTTCAGATATCAGAGGAAAATGTGCAAATTGTGGGGCATAGTTTCCTTTGCAAAATAATACTAATAGTTTTAAACTCTTATAATATGAGAAACTGCTCTTAGATAAATCCACACAGGACTCAATATTCGTTGGGTGAATAAAGCGAATCTTAGAAATGACTTTTTTTAAAAATTATTTATTTATGTTGAGAGAGAGAGAGAGCATGAGCGGGGAGAGGGGCAGAGGGACAGGGAGAAAGAGAATCCCAAGCAGACTCCATGCTGAGCGCGGAGCGCAAAGCAGGGCTGGATCCCACAACTGTGAGATCACGACCCGAGCTGAAATCAAGAGTCGGACACTTAACCAACTGAGCCACCCAGGTGCCCCTAGAAATGTCTTTTTGAAAGGGATACAATAGACTGTTTTTAGTTAAAAAAAAAAAAAAAATTTTTTTTCAACAGTCTCCCCAAGGCTGACCTGCTCCCTCTCGGTGGCCACAGAAAGTGCCTCCATCCCCGTCCTGACTGTTGGAAACACCGGTTGCCACCAAGTGGAATAAAAATGTCCCTGAAATATTAATAATAAAACAAAGATTTTTGAAGACAGGCTTCTCTTTGAGAAGGAAACATTACATGATATTAATGGGGTTTCTCAGATTTCCGTAATCCCAAGGGTTTCGACCAGGATTTCCTGCACTTATGGACACCCCCTGCCACGCACACACACAAACGCACGGAAGTGAACAATCCCCCTTTCTCTCTCTCCATCTCACACACACACACCAGCTCCCGACGGCACGGACATAGAAGGGACAGCATCCAGACTGAGAGTCGAAGATCCATAATGCAGGGTGGGGTTTGCCAGATGGTTTTCAGAAGCTCAAGTCACATGACCTCAGCCTCAGTTTTGAGAGGACGAAGGAGATGGGGCAGGAGGGGGTCTCAGGGTCGAGAAGAGAACGTCTCTGAAGTCACAGCTCCCAGAAGAAATGATCGGGCAGAGGAGGAGGCAGCTCTGAACAGGAGACGTGCCCTCTGGAGAGAGCCACACATCTCCGTGAGCTCAACCCTGCCTGCAGCTTCTCATTCGTGCCACGAGACCCCCCTCTTGGCGCCCTGTGGCTCTGAGAGGTCCCAGCCCCCGGGGGCCTCGAGCACAGGTGGCCTGCTTGTCACTCTGCTCTGTCTTCTCTGTGGCTCCGGATGGGGGAGCCCAGCTCAGCAGAGGCCACGCCGGGCCACGAATTTCCTCCTGGACTCAGTCCCATCAACTCAGCAGTGACTTGGGGCTTGCTACCCGCATGGAGCCTGCAGACGGGTGGCCAGGTTGCTGGCAACGAAGCGTCCACAGCAGGCAGCTGGGGGGACGGAGCTTTTCTCTGGGATTTTTGGGGGTGGTCAGATCACAGCCGAAGACACTGGGGTGCTTTGATTTACCTTTCCCGCTTAGCATAAACAGAAGGCAAGGGAAAGCCCACGGGCACCTCAGTTCAGTCTGGGTGGCATGACGCCTCCTCCGGCCCCGGCGACTTCGCCTCCCTCTCCTGCTGCTGCCCGTCAGCTCCTGCTTTTCCTTTAGGAAAATCCGAGACGCTCAGATCACCCCTGGGTGGTTCTCTCTCCTGCAATTATGAGCAAACGAGTTTGTTTGAAATGTTTCAGGAGACAGACAGGGTCTGTCCCTGGATCGGTTTCAATGTTCAGAGTGAAAACAAGAGCTGGGGAGTAAGGCGCGCGCGGAGGCCTGGTCACCGCGCGGCTCTCTCTCTCGGTCCCCCCTCGCCTCCCCAGGGCAAGGATGTTGGTGGCGGGACGTCACGTGGCCAGTGAGGCTGAGGATGGCGTGACAGGGTGCTGGGGTCACAAACAGACATTGGGGAGCATGACTCAGGGGCTCCAGAACCCCCCCCAGCACACCGAGGAGAGGCCGCGAGGCCCCCGCCGCACCCCCACGGCCAGCCAGGCGGGGGGGGAATCCCCAACAGCACCAGCACATTCCCCGAAGCAGAGGGGCCGGGGCTCCCCAAAGTGGAAGCAGACGAGCGTGTTAAAGAAAGGCATTTCGTTCGCAGATGAGCCGACGGATAACCACGCGGGCACGAGCGCTAAGGCTCGTTCGTAATGCAAACCCGGTGCTCCCGGCGGAGCGCGCTGCCCAGGCAGCTTCGCTTTTGCTTTCGCTTCCTCTCCCTCCACGCGGACCCCTCCGCCTGTCGCCCGTCGCCTGTCGCAGCGTGCGAGCGATCCGCGGGGGTTGGCACTCGCGGGATGGCATCCGGCACCCTGTTCCTTCCTCCCTCTGCTCTCGTCCCCCGATTTTCTAAATTAAACATTGTAAACCGATTGGCCGGTTTCAATGGTAGCTCGCAAGCAATTAGATACAATTTCCCCTTTGAAATGAAAAGGGCAGGGGATTCATTGTAGCGTTTCTCGTCGGGTTTACAAAAGACTCAATGTATATATCAAATGCCTTTGAGTCCGAAAGCTGCCGAATTTTACGGCGCCCTCTTCAGAGCAGATTCTCTCTCTTCGGCAAAGAATAAGATATAAATTCAACCGTGCCGTCACGATATGGGCTGTGATCACTTGTCAGGATTCATCAAATGGAATACTTTATTAGGAGACGCCACCTAAGAGGGCTGAAGCCGTCCCTCTAAAGGCGGCCAGGAGCGTTTGTGTATGCATAGACGCACTCTCCAGGTCCAAACTGCACCACCAAGGCAGAGAGAAATGGGCTGGATTTTTCCCCACGTGTGTGCACCTGGGAAGGTGACCGGACAGAGCAGCAAGACCGTGTGGATGTGGACACAATTGCTTCAGCCCCGCAGGGGAAGACAGGAGCGTGGCGAGCCCCAGGCACGCCGAGCCGTCTCCTCTGTCGCCCGGGGGAAGGAACTGTTTGCGTGTCCCTGCTCTGGCATCCGTGGTTTTGTAAACTCCAAATGCTCAAGCCCCCAGGCAGCCTCAGGGCCCGGTGTCCGCAGCCTTTCCCAGCCTTTCCGAGGCACAGACGGCCCATGGTTTGGGGAGAGCAAGCAGTGAAGACTCACAGGAGCATATGCAGAGTCCCCAAAGCGGTGAGACCACCCGGGCCTCTTCAGGGGCCCCTGAGAGACAAAGAAGCCCAAGGACCGGCGTCCCCCCTCCAGCCGGGCCACTCTGATTCCACTCGCTGGGTGCTTGTCTCTCGTGAACAGACCCTCACATAGCACACCAGGGGCCTCCGCAAATTCCAGCACGATTCCCAAAGCCAGGACGGACAGACAGACACACCGAAAGACACTTCGCTCATGTTACCGAGACACTCCTCGAACGTTTCTCAAACTGGTCCAAGCAGGGAGCGCTGGGCCACCCTCATGTTTCTGAGAAACGCATCCACTCTGGGCGGCAGGGGGGCGGTGGGGGGAGTGTGGCCACCGCCCCCACCTCCTCACTGCCCCCCAGGGTAGTTTGGGTGGAGTTCCTCATAATTTAAATTGTAAAGTTCTACAATCAAGTAGGAATGAAAATCATGGAACTTAAATCCCCATATTCAAGATGAGTGTCTATCCCTGTGAGTTGATTTGATATTTAAAAAACAAATTCGAGGAAGTGGACCAACCTGACAGCCATTTTAAATTTGAACTATTTGGTCTGAAAGAATGTTGTTAAGGGGACAGTGACGTTCGTCTTTAGCAAGGGTCAGTGTGCATGAGCATGGCCTGTGTGAAATCCAACTTTTCTTAAGCAATTTCCCCACCTGGTGTTGAGAACGTGGCCGTTCACCCACTTGTGCCCGAGCTCCGTCCACCTGCAAGGACCCGCCTCCCCATGTCGGGACAGAGAGGAAGAGAGCACAGTTGTCGCTCGGAGGACCCGGGTTTGGTGCAGTTCGCCCACACTCGGTGGACCCGCCGACTTTGAAACAAGGACCTGACTTCAGAGCCGGTCTGTTTGGCCTTGTTCCTTTGAAAGCTCTTTAAGAGCAGACGTGGATCGGCTCCCGTGAACTCAGCTCTTGGGGCTTCCCTCGCTCTCAGATCCTGAAACCAGAAGGAAGGTTCCAGCTGGGCCTTGCCCAGCCGCACACCCAGAGCCCCAGACAGGGTTTCAGGGGCCTGGGGGCTGCAGCTGTTTGCGGGGGGAGGGGGAGGTGGGGCTCTGGGGTGCTGTCCCCTGCACGGCCCTTGTTCCTTTCCCCGCAGCGGCTGACCTGGCATCAGAGGGGAGGAGCTCTGTCTCCTGGAGGAACAGACCCCCACCCCCCCCAAGGGGCGCACAGTGGAAGGGAGCTTACCAACCCACGTCAGGAATTTTGCAGGGGCTTCAGGAATCATGGATTACAGGCTCAGCTCAGTAAATGCGCAATCTGTGACGCCCCAGAGGCCTCAGTCGCACCGAAGCCGAAGCCGGCCTTTGTCCCGGGAAGTGGGCAGAGCCCGCGGACCTGGAACCGTGACTTTCTCCGCGTGTCTGGCTGATAAGGCCTTTGTGCCAGTGGGAACAGGTCGTAAAAACACCCGGCTTCTGTGTGCACCAGAGTCGCCCTCACACCTCCTTGCCCTCGGCACCCGCGGAGTTCGGCAAAGTTCACGCCGATTCCTGTTCACCTCCTGCCCCCCTTCCAGGTGGAGGCAGGTTGGGGACACCCCCGCCCCGCACCCGGCCCGGCCCTGCAATTAGCACTAATAGCGATTAATTCCATCTGCCGCTCAAAGTCCAGGCCACTGCCCTCCTGTCCTGCGCTCCAGCCCCACCAGGTGCCTGGAGGACTGTCTCGCGGTCCTGGGCTGGGGAGAGGGTGCCTGCTGGGCACAAAACTGCTCCCCACGGCCAAGAGCGCTAGACCCTCCCTCTGCTCCGTGGCTCTGGGCTGTGCCGGCAGCGGGAGCGTGGGTCCCGGGGAGGCTGGGCAGCCTGGGAGTGCGGGTGGGGGCTGCAGAGGGGTCCCAGCAAGGTCAGGCAGCCCTTTAAGCTGGAAGGGGTGTGGGGGCGGGGACCTCGGCGGCCCTGGAGTGCGGGTAGGGGATTCCAGGAGGTCCAGCAGCCCAGAGAGCCGGGGTGGGGGGGGTCCCAGGAGAGCCAGCGGCACTCGGAGAGGGGGGTGAGGAGGGTGGGGGGTCCCGGAGGCCGGGTGGCCCTCCGAGGGGGTCGGGTGGGGAGGCGGAGAGGGGAGGCGGGCCGCGCCCAGCTCCCTCACCCGCCAGCCCCAGCCGGCCGGAGTAGGAGCCCAGCAGCCTGGCCGGAGGGAGGACGCGGCCCCGGGAGCCGCGCACGCACGGAGCGAGATGCCAGGTCAGAGCGGGGGGCCTCGGGGAGGGACGCGGCGGCGGGCGGGCCCACATTGCCCTCTAACGGGGCCCCGAGGGAAGCCGGCCGCAGACCCTCCTCTGTCCCCAGCCGGGCCCCAGCCTGCGCTGCACTGAATGCACTTGCCGGATGCGCTGGCCCATGGAAGGGTGCTGAGCCTGCTGAATGAATGACCCGCCTAACCAGTTGCGCGCTCGGGGCTTCCCAGTCTTTGTTGGAGTGTCCCATATACTTTGGACCCCATTTTGAAATGCAGTGGCTCAAGTGTGATTTTTGTGAAACAATTATTTGGCCACTGTCCTTTTTTAGATAAAATGACACAAAACTGGAACCATAACAATTGGCTTAATTACAGAAGTTAGTAGGGTCCAGATTCTACTCTCCATTTTAAAATCTCGTCACTAATTCGCGATGTATCTGAGAACAATTGCCAAATAAAATTAACGAGTACAGGGGAGAGGGAGTTTGTGCACTCTGTTGGTACCGCTGTGGTGCCCTGGGAGTAAATCCAGGCTAGGGCTGGGGACCCAGTGGGGCTTTGTGTGTCCTCTCGGGAGTTCCCTGCTGTTGTCCCGGGGTGAGTCAGGACCCGCGGTTTGTGAGGGAGTCCACAGGGACAGGGCCTGTGGAGGGGAAAAGGGGCCCGACAAGAGAGGAGGAAGCTCAGCCTCCTGGATGTTTCCCAGGGCCTGGGGGCGAGGGGAGAGGCAGGAGTGGTGTGCGGGCCATGTGCCCAGCTCAGTCTCTGTGTATCTGAGCTACGTCCCACTGCTGCTGGACAGTCTGGCCTGATCCCTCACCCCCAGGTCTTCCGTGAGGAGGGCAGTGCTGGAGGCCCTCCGGGGGTGGGGGGAGGGAATCAGTCTGGAGAAGCCGGGACCCCTGCATTTCCCAGGGCAGGTGGAATCGTCTTGGTCTTTCTCTGGCCTCCTGGTCAGTCCTGCGGCTGGGCCTTCGGGCTCCTTGGTTACTGTTATCTGGATAGAGACCCAGGGTGGTAGGCAGATGATTGGCTGTTTGACATTTCTGGACTTGAGATGCAAGATCCCTGGTGTCAGCCCCACTCATGTGAGGAGCTGAGACCTGCCCCCCACCTAGGACCTGTCACTGCTCTCCAGAGAGGGCAGGGGGTCCCAGGCAGGGAAGACCCCGGTCCTCTCCCACAGTCACCCAGGCCTTTGGAACCCATTCCCTGGGTGCCATCCCAAACGGGCCTGCCCTGGTGCCCTTCTGAGCTGTAGGGTTTTCCAGATCTTGGCCACACCTCCAGGGCAGACGGCCCCTTTTCCAGATGTGTGTCGGCAAACTACAGAGCTCCTCGGAGTACTGAGGCTGGACGTTCCAAATTCACCTCCCCTTGACCTCAGAGTCTGCTTCTCCAGGCTGCAGGACCTACCCTGAGCCCCCTACACCCCTCCCTGTTCTCAGGGACACCCCATCTAGCCCCCGATGGCTGTTAGGCACCAAGCTTGCTGCAGGCACACGTGCCCCTCTGCCTTCCCTTGCAAAGGGTGTCCCCGCTCATGTGAGACTCCCAGCCTGCTGCCCGGGCCCACAGAGCCGCTGTCTGAGCTCATGGCCATTTTCAAAACATGCACATTCACTCTCGACCCCTTCTAGACCCCAAGCCCACACCTCCCCCAGCAGCAAAGTGTGTCTGTGTACACACCGAGAAGAGGAGCCTGAGAACCAAGCCGGGCACCGCTCCCGGATGAAAAGAGAGACCCTCCCTGATATTTCCCACTGGGACACCCCATGCCTGGGAACTTTCAGGCTGATCCTCACTGATTTCAACTTGCATCCCCTTTACCAGCATCCAACAACTGGATGAAATAAATTAAAAGGGACTCTAGTCCTTCTGAGCATATTCTACCAAGTTCCAGAGGGGAACCTCTTAGCAGCAATTAGTAGGCAGGTCGAGTGGCCGGCAGGCCGGGCCCTGAGAGGAGCAGCATCGCCTGCGAGCGCCCAGCGTGGCCTCTGAGCCACAAGGACGGCCGCCCTCACCCTTCTCTCTGCTTTTCCACCCTAGATTTATTATAAAGTCATCAAGGACATTGAGCCCGGGGAAGAACTGCTGGTGCACGTGAAGGAAGGCGCGTACTCCCTGGGGACGGTGCCCCCCAGTCTGGATGGTAAGCCCCCCGCCCTGCAGGAGCTCCTGAGGCCTCCCCGTCACGTCACACCGCATGACGGGGGCCGCTCTCCTGCGCTCCGGCCCCGGGCCCCCCTCCCGACCTCTCAGCCGAAGCATCTGCGGGTTATACGAGCTACACCCGCATTCAAGATAGCCCTTCGGACAATAGGAGTGAATGGGTGTCGTGTGGCATTGTATCTTTGCCGTGGCAGAATCCTGGGGGGATTTGTTAAACTATATTATTATTATCAGCAGCAGCATAGTTTGCTCTCCTCGGTACTTAAAAACAAAAAACAAACAAACAAAAACACAAAGTTTTGTGGCTTGGAAACCGTCGCCCTCCAGAGCCATGGGAGACGTTTGGGGCTCATTTAAGAGAGAGCAGTGACGGCGTGTGAGTCTTTGAAAGCCATGCCTGTCTGTAGGGAACAGCAAGGAGTCCAAGAGAAAGGTTAAGGGAAAACTGATTTTGTGAGAGGAAACCCGGGGCGCTGAGGGGAGTCCCCCCCAGGGACAGGGATGGCGGCTGAGCTCCTCCAACTGTCCACCCAAAGCGTTCCCACTGCCCTCCGCTTGGTGCTTGTCCAGTGGGCTCGCTGCCCTCCACCCCCATCCATACCCGAGTGCATCGCAGAGGACGTTAGAAAAATTCCTGCAGCAAAGAGGGTAGGATTTCTGAAATGCAGATTTATTTTCCTTCATCCACATTGTGAAGCAATGTGCCATTCACCTTGGGGTTCTGGAACCGTTTTTAAGTCCATTCGAGGAGCGCTGTGTTGGCAGCGGACGACTATCCATTAACTCCCTGCGTGCCGCTGCCGAGCACGCGGTGTCTTTTTTTGGAGCGAGACCCCGCAAGTGAGCAGAAAAGCAGCCTCTCCTCCTGGCGGGGGCTGGTGATTCCGCTCACGCTGGAGCAGGGGGGAGGTTGGTTTTCCCCTTCCTGTCTTTCTTTCCCTCCCCTCCAAAGGCACAGAGGCTTAATGATTAACGCCACTTACCGCAAGTTCCTCTGATAATGTTACGTGAGGGAGTGGCCCTGGCTGGGCCTGGGAGCAGACGCAGAGACCTCTGCCTTAATTTACCCTTCCGATCCCGAGTGTGGCCCAGCAGTGAGGGTTCTTCCTCCTCACGGGCCATATCTCCAGAGGCCACAGAGCCGGATCCTATCTGTACGCGCCTCTGAAGTTTGGTTTTAATTAGGCCATCGAGAGAAGAAAAATAAATGGCTGAGGTCTGGGTCGTGAGGGGATGGTCTCATTTTCCTTAAAATAATTGTTGAAAAGACCGATAGAGCTCAGGTAGCGCAGCAGAACTCGGAAAGATAAACCCACTTACCTCAGGGGAGCACCCGGCGAGGAGGTTTCGTTTGTGTAATGAAACTTCTTTCTTCCAAAAGGTTTTAAAAACCTTGATTGCTATCCACCACCACGCCGCCCCCCCAGCCCCGGCCCCCAATCTCAAATAAGCTGGGTCCACATTTCCCTAGTAATTCGTCAAACATTTGTGGGCTAATTGCTTGCCACACATAATGGTCCAGCATCAAATGTCTGACTTTTCATACTCTCTGCTGTCGCGGTCACCCCCTTGCCCCCCAACAGCCGCCCCCTCCCCAGCTAAACTCGGAACCGCACAGAAAGAAAATGCAAAAATGTTCCTCACTAAGATAATTATCATAAAAAATCTTTTATCCCAGCCCCAGCTAAATGCAGAGGCCCCTTATCACGGCAGGAATTTGGAGTGGGCTCTCCAGCGCTTTTGAGCCTCAGTCTGGTAGATTAGCATGTAGATGCCACATAATTGTGTCCCCCTCGGCTCTCTGAAGCCATTAGGCACTGATTTATTTTTCTGTTACATTCCTGCTCTGCCGTGAAAAGTTGCTGATGGACCTGCAGATAGACATCCAGGCGCACACCTGACATGCCACATCGGGCTGCCACGCCCGGGCCCGGTCTGGTTTGGGGAGAACGCGGAGCTTCTGCCCCAGCCCGCGGCCCCCAAGGACCCCCCACCAGATTCCGACGGAGGGAGTTCAGTCCCGAATCACAATTTTTGTGTGCTACCGTTGGGGGCAGGGGCCTTTGCGGGGGGACAACGTTCAGGTATCGAGGAAGAAACAGAGGCCCCGGGTTGCCAGCCCGCTGGGGGCAGAGTGCGCCAGGCCTGCGGGTCTGAGCCTGCGAATGCTCTTTCAAAGCCGCAGCTTTGCAAAGAAATGCACTTCCAATTTCCCTGCAAGTGACTCAGAGCAGAGGGAAGCCACTTTCGGATTCATTAGTTCCGGCGACTTTTTATTTTGTTTTTACTCTCAGTGGAGAGGGGAAAGATTTCTCTTTCAGGAAAGCTTCTTGCTCTTGGGGGAAAATAAAGAAAATCATTTCCATTCAAATATGCTTTTCTTTTGAGAAAGGCTCAAAATTGTTAATTTCCCCCCCCATAAGAAGTCAAGAGGATGCAGTGAACTGCGTATAAAGCATATGAGACAGATTATAATATAATATAACATAACATAACATAATACAACAACATGCTCTACTATAATACCATATAATACAATGTAACATAATATAACCATAATGTAACATATTCTTTTAGTTTTTTTTTTCTTAATACGGAATTATCCTGCTGGGCAGTGGACGACATGGGCTGTGCGCATCCTTCGTGGCACATCCAGCGAGCCCCGGGCATGGGCGCTGCATGCCCGCCTTACCTGCGTGGAGGATGCTGGGACACCTGTCCACACCGCAGCACGGGGGGCGGGGGGAGGTGGCCAGGCTCACCCACGGCCAGCCCCCAGCTCCATCCTTCACCCGGGGCAAACTTGGGTCCGTGGAGGGATGAGGAGGCAGGGGAGGAGGGCAACAGTTATCTCCCCGGTCCATTTCACGGCCTCAGGATGTCCTCCCATGCCATCAGCGTGGGAATCGGGCTCAGTTTTCATTTTAAGTCCAAATTCCAGATCAAAACTGAGAAAGTTAAGTTGGTCGGTGGTATGGATGGGTGGGGTTGGCCTTTCTTCTTGTCTTTGTTTTCAAATTTCAACTTCTGTGACTGTTCCCAGTCGGGTCCAGAAAGAGTAAACTACCAACTGGCATTTCGAACTGACTCACGGCGCCAGTGGCGGTGGGAGGGCCCCAGGAAGTCAGAACAAACCCACAGGGGCAGCTTTGTGGGGTCGAGGCATCCGGCTCCGCTCTGAAATGGTGTTCTCGGTCCTCAGATGGAGAGGAAGTCCACATCTCTAAAGACCAGGAGGGCCTGCGGGGAATGTCAGGCCGTTCAGAGCGCACACGCCACGCTTGGCGCTCTTCTGGGCCCCTGGCGGGAAGCTGGGACTCTGCCACCCGGCTTCCTGGGCCCCGCCCGGCGCCATGGTTCTGGTTACACGGCTCTGCCACCTCCTCTCCCAGCATCCCGGCCTCCGTTTACCCGTCATCAGGCGGCCATAAAAAGCATCTCCCCCTGGGTGCGCGTGGATGCCTTCGATGCACCAGCAGCATGAAGCTCCGAGCTCGGTGCCGGCTGGGTGCGGGCTCCCGAGACCTCGAGTGTCCCCACGGCTGGGCACGTTATTTTCCCAGGAGACGTTTCTCCTGAAGGGTTCGCGCACTCGAATTCTACTTCAAAGACAACGCTGTGTGGACTTGCAGGGGGATTATTTTGTGATGTGCATCCTCCCTGGCCTTGGCCTGGCATTCCACCCCACTACCTGGGGACCGGCCCCGTACTTGGATGGCTTTTGTTTTAGGATCTTCTCCGCCTTCGCGCTCCAGGCGGCCGCGGGCCCCACCGCCCCCGCTCCTCCTGCCCCTGCTCTGCCTGCGTGCTGCCGGCCCTCCCTGTCTCCTCCAGCCCGTGCCTGGGGTTTGCGTGGACCGGCTGGCCTTGCCTCCCTCCCATCAATTCTGCAGCTCAGCATGTGTCCGGGACAAGCTCCAGGGGCGGCCTTTCTGGGAGATGTTTGGGGCAGAGACTTCCAAGCCCAGAGGCTCAAACCCATGCTCTCAGCCCCAGACTGCCAGACAGCGTGAGCTGCTTTTTCCGGTTTGTGTTGTATTCTTCCAAGCGAACACTTCCTTGACAGCAGGCCATCCGCAGTGAGCCGGCCGGGATGCCTGGACCAGCACAGGGGCCCACCCGGCCCGTCCCCAGGGCCCTTCCCTGGCACCCACGTATCTACCTCCACGCACAGATGTGAACAGAAATCACATCTGTGCCTCTGAGGGTGTCATCCGAGCCCTGGGGGTCCAGCCAGGCACACCCCAGAGCCAGCTCCCATGGAGTCTGCCCCGTGGTGTCAGGGAGGAGGGGGATCCGGGTGCCCGCCGGTGGAGATGCCGGGTGTGACCGGGCACCGGGAGTGACACCTCCAGCATAGTCTCAGGGAAGCTTCTAGTCGTGAGCAGGTGGCCCTCGCTCTCCCCAGCCCTCTCCCCTAAGCCCCTGCCCAGGCTGCAAACTCCCCCGCCCTTTCCTTGGCACTCAGATGGTTATGGTGGTCTCTCTGACACGAGAGGAGACAGAGGGCAGCCCCCTTCTGCCTGCCCCCCAAGTCCCTGGCTCCTTGGCTTCGACGTCCCTCGGGGTCAGGCCATGTCGGTCAGCAGTCAGGCCCAGCTCACTAAAGCTCAGCGCTGCACCTGCACGCATACTCGCACACACACACACACTCACAGGTGCACAGACACACGCATGCACGTAAACACACACTAAGACATGCACACACACCTGCACGCTCATATGTGTGCACTGACGCATTCACACTTGACACGCACGACACGTGGTCAACCAGGAGCACAGATGCGGGTACGTAACAGGCGCACCCGCGTGCACACGTGAACGTAGGAAAAGACAAATTTTCACATGTGCAGCCGCATGCAGAAGCATACGCACACTCACACACATCGGGTGAAAACACATACACACCCACTAAACAAGTGTAGACGCACAAATGTTCCTACACATTCCCACAAAGCTACGCAGACGTGGATGCAGATATGTTCAATGCACACACCCACTCACACGCTTTGTGCACACACAGCCGCACACCCACGCTCACCCACACACACATTCACACCTACACAGTTACACGCCTCTGCACGAGTACACATGCATTCCCACACTCGCTACAAGCACACGCATGCACACCTTTCAGTCCATTTGTGCAAGAGCTTTTATTGCTCGTGTTCTCTCCCGCCTCGGGCAGGGAGGGGGACGCCCGCTCTGGGAGAAGCTACTGTTAGGCCGTCACCTGGGGTGGGGCCTGGGGATGGGCCCAGAGGTCGTCTCCCCGGGGAAATTTATGGCTTTGAGCTGACTGTTTGGCTTGGCACGGTGGTCAGGATGCCGCCTTGTAAACTGAATAATAGCTGCCCCCCCCTTTAATTTGTTTGACCTTGGCGAGGGTAATTTATGAGATGCATTAGAGCTCGGCCCGTGTTTTCTCCTAATTCATAAACAAAGCGCTCGCCAGCTTCCTTCTCTGCTCCCCAGTGCGGGGCCTCCTCAAGCCCAGGGTGGCCTCCTGCCATGCGGGGTGGGGCCGAGGGCTTCTCAGCGGTTCTGATGATGCAGACACAAGGTCCACGCGGTCCCCAGCTCCCTGAGGCAACCACACCTAGGTCTGGGAAGCGGGGGCAGGAAGGAAGCAGGAACAGCCCGCGTGGAAGGCAGGGCCCCCTGCACCCCCCACCACGGGCCCGGGGCCTGGGCCCCATCTCGTGCTCCCCACCCACCTCCCTCCTGTCTCCCCCGCAGAGGAGCCCACGTTCCGCTGTGACGCCTGTGACGAGCTCTTCCAGTCCAAGCCAGACCTGCGGCGACACAAGAAGTACGCATGTGGCTCCGTGGGGGCCCCGCTCTATGAGGGCCTGGGTGACGGGCTCAAGCCGGAGGGGCTCGGCGGCGGGGGCGGCGGCGAGCAGGCCCACGAGTGCAAGGACTGTGAGCGGATGTTCCCCACCAAATACAGGTGCTGCCCCTCCCCTGCACCCTCCCCCAGCCTCCAGGCCCCCCAGGAGCCCCCCCCCCCCCGGCCCCCGCAGCCTCACTGGGCCCTGGCAGCACAGAGGGAGACCGGGGAAAGGCAGACATCTGTCCTGGGCCCTCAGCCCTGTCCACACTGACACATGGAGAGCTCCAGGGACAGGTGGAGGCAGGGTCCCCTCCAGTGTGGCACACCTCGGGGGCAGGTACCCCCAGGCATCCAGCATCAGGGACTGAGTAGCCCAGGAGCTGGTGGAGGTAGGCCACAGGGGATCCTGACTCTGGCTGTGAAGGCCAGGCCCCTGGTCCGAGCCCACCGCCCCTAGAAGATCTGCAAGTGGCCCGGCAGAGACTTTGCTGGCCCCACCATTGCGCAGGCAGGGCTCAGCTGTGGAAACAGGCTAGGAGCAGAGTGAGAGATGCAGGCCAGACCCCAAGATGTGCAGGGTCAAGCCCCAGGGAGACTTCTGAAGCAGGGTCCAAGACCAGGATGGGGGGATGGCAGCACCCTGCTGCCCGGGGATCTATGGAGTGCCCTGACCCTCTGGATACACAGGACTCCTTCTCACACGGTGGGCACGGGCTGGAAGGGGCCACCCAGGGGTCCCCTATCCCCCACCCCAGCCACCTGCCTCTGCTCCCCACGGATGGACCCCACCTGTCCTGGGAGACCTCACAGGCCCTCCCCTGGAAGGTGGGCACCCTGAGGACCCATGGGAACCCTGAGGAAAGATGAACCTTCTGGGCTGTGTGGGGAGAGAGCCAGGACTGAGGTCCCAGTGCTCCAGGGAAGCCTGAAGACTTTTCCAAGGTGGGCCCCTCCTCCGGCCTCTGAGAATGTCTCTAGGGCGGCCTGGCAAGGTCAGAGTAAAGCCCCGTCACGTCCCTAAGTGGCTCTGGTACTGCTGGGAACCGGACGCCAATCCCACCGTGGCCTCCCCAGGGATGGGAAACCGTCCGCCCCGAACAGATGACTGAGAAAATAAGCGTTTGGGCAAATCCCGACTGAGGCCCTCGGCGGTAAGCGCTGCTCAAGAGGGTCCGTGTTTTCTTTACATAAACACATAAATCACAATTAACAACAGGGAAAAAGATACAATCTGCCAGGGATCAAGAACCAAGCGTTTCTGATGTAAATGGATGGCTGCGCCCCGTAATTAACGGGCCGTGATGTATTGCTGCTTTGCTCACAGAGATTAACGGTCACACCTGGGACAGGAGGGGAAACAGGACGTCCCCCGAGAGGAGGGGGTCAGGAGCTGTGCCTTCATCCAAGTGCAGCCGCCCCTGCCCAGCAGCTGGGCTCTCCCCACCTTATCAGGCCGCAGTTGGAGACCCACCCGCTCACCCCCAGCCCGCCTCCTTGGTGTGTGCGTGGCGGGGAGGCCAGGGGCGGCCTTGGTTTCCTGCGCCTCGCCCCCTCTCTGGGGCTCACGGCGATGTCGGAAGCTTCTGCGCCCCTTTTCCGAGGCCCAAGGTTAGCCTCAAGGTTAAGATCATCTTGACGAGCAGCCAGGCATTGTGAGCTGGGGTCCTGCCCTGCCTCTGGCTGCCGGGAAGAGTGGTCTTGGATGAGGGCCTGAGCTTTGTGCAGGCACCACCTCCTCCCCATGTGCTGTGGGAGGGCGTCTCTGCCCCTCCATCCTGTTGACCTGTCCAGAGAGGAGGTGGACAGACCCGCTGCCAAGACGCACTCTCACCTCCGAGCGGGGCTGGGGGGCTGGGGGCCGCTGGGCAGTGGGCAGGCAGGCAGGCCCCCAGTGACCCGCCCCCTGTCCGCGTGCAGCCTGGAGCAGCACATGGTTGTGCACACAGAGGAGCGAGAGTACAAGTGTGACCAGTGTCCCAAGGCCTTCAACTGGAAGTCCAACCTCATCCGCCACCAGATGTCCCATGACAATGGCAAGCGCTTCGAGTGTGAGAACTGCGTGAAGGTAACATGCAGACGCACCTGCCGCTCCCGCCCGCGCCCCCCCACCCAGCGAACGTGCTGGTGAAGTGCGCGGAGCCAGTAAGATGCCTGCAGCCCTTTGGGTCCTTCAGTTTGCCAGGGAAGAAGGAAGCGCGCCAGGTCACACAGCTAGGGAGGAGGCCAGGGAGAGCAGACGCTGTCCTCTCCGCGGTGGGATCCTGCCCCCGCCCGTGTGTCAGAGCCCGTGGGCCTGAAAATGCGTTCTGAGCTCTCGCTTCAAGCATCCCAGCCGCAGCTCCCCCGGGAATGATTGTCGGAGACGCAGAGTCTGGGGGGAGGCTCGGTGGCTCCCCTGAGGTCTTCCGGGGGTCACCCCCACAACAGAGACCCCTCCCGGACAGGCTCAGTGCAAGGGCCAGAGCAGCACTGAGGGCCCCACCCAGCGGCCGGAACTGGGCCAACGGGGGAGCAAGCAATGGCATCTGTCCCCCCAGGTGTTCACCGACCCCAGCAACCTGCAGCGCCACATCCGCTCCCAGCACGTAGGAGCCCGGGCTCACGCCTGCCCCGACTGCGGGAAGACGTTCGCCACGTCCTCGGGCCTCAAGCAGCACAAGCACATCCACAGCACCGTCAAACCTTTCATATGTAAGTGGTCCCCCAGCCTGGCCTCCCCGCTGGCCTCCATGGGGGGTTGCTCGGAGGTCAGGCCAAGGCATGCAATCCCCGGGCTCTCGCAGTCGCAGGACCCCTGCTTGCTCAGAATCCTCTGCCAGGTGAAGCCCAGGCCGCGGACCCCCTCCTGGTACCACCTCTTCACCACTTGGCTCTGCCGCACCTGCTCATCTTGTGACCCACCTCTCTCTTGCTGTGGCCTCATTTTCCCCTCCTGCTCTGCTTGGTTCCTCCCCCTTGCTTACCCCTTCAGTGGCCAGAGGTGGGTGGTAGGAGGCAGGGAAGGACCGTTTCAGCAGTCCTGGGTCCTGCAGAAGGAGCCAGCAGCCCACCCCACCCCCGTTCCCTCTACTCTCCCCTGTACTCACACCCCAACCTGAGCTCTGGGAGGCATAGAAATCCTAGTGACACTCACTGAGCTCTGCTCATCCCCACAGCACCTTTATGGAGCCCAGCCTGTGTAGCCTGCACCACCTGGGCAGCAGGGGCCAGGTGTAAATGCCCCTGTCATCACAGAGCTTACATGCAGTGCAGGAGACAGAGGCTAAGCTGTATGAGCAGTAAAGGCACATGGGACCAGCCTATCAGGATAGAGGGGGTGGCGCAGGGTTAGGAGGCTCTCCAAGTGCTCAGGTCTGCCCAGGTGGGTCCTGGCCCTGTAAATACTGTGGGAGCCAGGACGGCTTGTCAAACGAGAGGCATTCTAGCAAAGACCTGGAGGAAGGGCAGGTGTGAGCCAAGGGAGTACCTGCGGGACGGGGGGGGAGGGGGTGGTGCTCGGGACAGGGACTGGGAGCAGAGAGGCCTTGAGGCCAGCATGTTTGAGGGAGTAAGTGAGGGGAATAATAGAAGAGTGGCCAGAGGTCACAGGTCCAGGTCTTGGGTACCATGTGAGCCAGCGCAGGGGCATGAATCTTATTCTCAGTGAGTTTGGAAACCACAGAAGATTCTTCTCTACCTAGCAGTGCACTGACTTAGTCATACAAGATTGCACTAAGTCATCATTTCATGTGATTTGCACTGTCATCATCCACACGAGGTCATGCAGGGTCATCATCCTCACAAGATCATGCGGGGTCATCACCCATACAAGGTCATGCAGGGTCATCATCCATACTAGGTTGTGTGGGGTCATCATCCACACTAGGTCGTGCGGGATCATCATCCACACAAGGTCATGCAGAGTCATCATCCACGCTAGGTCGTGTGGGGTCATCATCCACATGAGGTCGTGCAGACTCATTATCCACACAAGATCCTACGGGATCATCATCCACATGAGGTCATGCAGGGTCACCATCCACACGAGGTCGTGCAGACTCATCATCCACATGAGATTGTGCACACTCATCATACACATGAAATCCCACAGGATCATTATCCACACAAGGTCATGTAGACTCACCATCCACACGAGGTCGTGTAAACTCATCATCCACACAAGGTCATGCAGGGTCATCATCCACACAAGGTCACGCAGGGCCATCATCCACACGAGGTCGTGCAGACTCATTATCCACACGAGATCCTACGGGATCATCATCCACACAAGGTCACGCAGGGCCATCATCCACATGAGGTTGTGCAGACTCATTATCCACACAAGATCCTATGGGATCATCATCCACACAAGGTCATGTAGACTCACCATCCACACGAGATCATGTAGACTCAACATCCACACGGGTCATGCAGGGTCACCATCCACACGAGGTCGTGGAGGGTCACTATCCACATGAGGTCATGTGGGGTCATCATCCACACGAGGTCGTGCTGACTCATCCCATGAATTGTGCCAAGTCATCATCTCACGGGAGATTGTGCAAGGTTGTTCACATGGATTGTGTGGAGTCATCATCCAAACACACTATCTCATAACATACTTCAAAAATCCAACCAAGGAAGGGCCACACTGTCTCCACCTGACAGAGAAGGAAACTGAGGCTCATGGACATTAAATGACCGGGTGTTCATGGCCACACTATGGAGTGGGGATTGTAGCCCCGGCCCACACTGTGGAGTGGGGCTTGTGGCCCCTGAGCCTGGCTGGGGGGCTAGAACCCCTCGGGCCCCATGGCATCAGGGGGAGGAGTAACTGGGTGCTTGGGGCCTGGGCTTGGGATAGTTTCCCGGTGCTGTTCAGGGGCAGGACCCCTGACCCTTGGGGCCACACGCCGACTGGCTGGTCCGGCCTTTGTTTCGTGGATGGACTATGCCCTCTTCCTGCCCGCTGTCCCCAGCCCAAGCTTCCAGTCCCCTGCTGGAGATGACCCAGACACCAGTGTCTCATGGGTCATGTGCCCCGCCCCCAGTCACTGGCAGGTTCTAGAGAGAGACGGGAGCAGTGGTGCCGCAGGGCCTGTTGCCTCTGGGAGGTGTCAGGAAGTGGCGAGATGGGTGGGGGCGGGGATGGGGGGCTTTAACAGGGACCAGAGATGCATGTCCCAGGAGGTCCCACTGTGGGGGCATGAAATAGCAGCTTGGAATTTTGAAGTGAGCTTAGGAGCAGGAAATTGTGCAGAGGTTCAAAAGTCGCTACTTTCTGAGCACCTAGACACAAAGTTTTGTGAAGTCTCCTTGGAGCGTATTTAATAATGTAAGTTCCAGGAACCATCGCGCTCTGCCAGGGTCTGAGCCCACTCTTTCCACGGCCCGCGCAGAAGCCTGGCGTGGACAAGCAGAGCCCGGGCAGCCCGGCCCTGCCGGGTGCTCCCTCCAGCTCCTGTCCATGCTGCACGCCCGCCTGGTGTCTCGGCTTTTGGCTAAAGGGTGAAGCTAAAGAGAAAACCCTATGCGTGGCCAGGTGGCCTGCATGGGCATGTCATTCAGATAGGGTGGCAAAGATTTCAGAAAGTGAAATGTGATTTTGCACGTCCCGCAAGCCACAGCCGAGCATGCTTTGGGCCACGGTAAAGGGCCGTGTTGGGCTCGGAAAAGCAGCTCTGCAAACAAGTGCGGAGGGTGCACACATCCTCGCCCCTCACAGGAAAGATGGGTGGCTGGGAGGGGTGCAGGCTCACGGCGACGCCGTCTCCAGTGCACCCAGACAGCAGCCACCTGGGGGCACGCGCAACACACTCGGATCTGCACTAAAACCGGGCTGCAAGCCCCGGAGCCCTTCCCTCACTGAGCACCCGGCCGAGGCAGAGTTCCTTCGCAGCGGTGCCTCGTGTGCCAGGGAGCTGGGGTGTGTGCTGGGGTGCGCGGGAGGGCGGTATCCGGGCACACAGGGGGTCAGTCTCCTGGTGGGCATTCTCCACAAAAGGACCTTCCCTAGAGTGTGTGTGTGCATGCGCACATCCACGCACTTGCCCTACAAGGACGGGAAACTGCTATGAGCGGTCAGGGCCCCTCTGCATCCCACCGGGGCCTGCGGGCACCCTCTGCCAGTCACTACTCTCGCGTCCAGGCTGCCGTGGGCTGCCCAGGCCTTCCTCGGCCCCTGCGGGCAGCCACCTCCCTTTGCCGGCTCTGAGCCAGCTGGCCACTGGCATTCCGGGCCCAGGACCACCTCTCTGACGGCCTCCGTCTCCCAGAGGTCTCTCTGTAGCCCCAGCATCTCTTCCAGACCCCTCCATCCTGTGAGCGGAGGGGTGGGCGCGGAGGGTCCCAGGCTCCCCACAACCAGGCATGGTGCTGGCCCAGGGACCCTCCTGGGAGCTGCCCCAGGTGGAGGGCCTGGTCAAGTCCAGTTCCTAAGCTAGGTTGGCAGCAGGCACAAACCAGGCCCTGGGGATCTGGGCCAGGGGTGCAGCGAGGGGTCACGTGTTTGGCCAGCGAGGCTCAAGCTGAGGTAGGGCCCGGCTCCCCCGAGGCCAGGTGGGTGACCTGAGTGTATTTATAGACCGGCTCTGTGGCTCGGCACCTCTGGATCAGCCTCCTCCCAAAGAGGGCAGATTTGATCCGATTGAGGCCGTGCTCTTCCCCCTTAGCCTTGAAAACAAACGTCCCACCATACGGACAACAGGAAGGCAGGGCCCTTAACATAAATAGATTCTGTGCCGAAAGAAGTCGGTCATGTGGGGCCAGAGCGCCGGTGAGAATAGCGGGACACCAGGCAGTCAGGATTTGTGGTGAACAAGAAACAGGCTGGATCCATTGTTTCCACCGGGCTGCATTTAGGAAGCAAATTGTCCTGCCGAGAGACGTGTGTGTGTGTGTGTGTGTGTGTGTTCCTCCCTTTCTGGTTAAAAAACAAGAAAGAAAAGCTTGTGATTCACTGACAACACTCAACTCACAGGCCAAGGGGGAAATGGCCAGGTGGGGTCCCCAGGGCTCCTGGGTCCTGGCGTTGGGCTCTGGCTTGCACTGCCCCCTCCTGTCAAGGGCAGAGGCCGGGGCCCATCAGCCTGAGCCTGGCTCTGCTTCTTCATCCCAATCTGGGGAGGCTTCACTTCCCTTAAACATGGAGCCAGCCCCTCTCCACACGGCCCTGCCTGCCTTCCCTCCCGCCCCCAGCTTCAAGCCAGGCCCAGACGGTGACCACCGCTCGCCACCGGGAGCCCTGCTCCCCAGACCAGACTCCCTAAGAATCCCCCGAGTGGGCCGGTCACCCCGAGGCCCCTCTCCCAGGACAGAGAGCAGAAGAGTTCATCTGGCGGTTGTTGTTTCCTCTCTCCCCGTTGAGACAGCGCCACTGAGGGGGACAGGGAGTGGCGGGAGGCTCTGGGGGAGCCTAAGCAAGTGCACGCTTGGCTGCACGCCGTGGCTTCATCCACCCTGATTTCAGAAGACCGGGGCCCCCATGTCACCAACACTCCCGGGGAGAATGGCACAAAGAGCAGACATACCCCAGCCTCCAACGGGGAAGGTTGAGGAACCTGAGATCTGTCCAAGTGGGAAGGTGCAGGTGGTCCTCACCAGCCTGCTGGTCCCTGGAGGCCAGCCCCAGGGTAGGATGCACACACACACAGACATGTATGTGCACACGCATGCAGCACACGTGCGGACATGCATGCATGCAGACAGCACACACGACATGCATGTGCACGCATACTCATGGCACACATACATACATATGCCCATGGTACATATACACACAGGCGTGTAAGCATGCGTGCAGACACATACATGTGCATACTCACACACATGCCCATAGGTACATGTGCATGTGTGTACAGACGTGCAAGCATGCATGTAGGCACATAATGTGTGCACAACTACAATACACACGTGCCCATAGGTACATGTACACGCGTGCAAGCATGCATGCACGCACATACATGTGTGCGCCTACACACATGCCCATAGGTACATGTACACACGTGCAAGCATGCATGCACATACATGTGCACACTCACACATGCCCGCAGGTACATGTACACGTGTGCAAGCATGCGTGCAGACACATACATGGGCACACTCTCACACACGTGCCCATAGGTACATGTAGACGCGTGCAAGCATGCATGCAGGCACATACATGTGCACGCCTACACACACGTGCCCGCGGGTACATGTACACACATGCAAGCATGCATGCAGGCACATACTTGTGCATGCCTACACACATGTGCGTGCCGGCATGCACACATATGGTGTGACGTGTGTGCACGCACATATACACACGTGTGCGCACATACACAAGCAGGGACGGCTCCGGATCGCAGGGCCCAGCCTCCCTCCCCCGCAGCCGTAGGGTTTCCTGGTAATTTCATATTGTGTTTGTGTTTGCTTTCTGCTGATGTTTTAGGTGAGGTCTGCCACAAATCCTACACGCAGTTCTCCAACCTGTGCCGGCACAAGAGGATGCACGCCGACTGCCGCACGCAGATCAAGTGCAAGGACTGCGGGCAGATGTTCAGCACTACCTCCTCCCTCAACAAGCACCGACGTTTCTGTGAGGGCAAGAACCATTACACGCCGGGCGGCATCTTCGCCCCGGGCTTGCCCTTGACCCCCAGCCCCATGATGGACAAGGCGAAGCCCCCCCCCAACCTCAACCACGCCAGCCTGGGCTTCAACGAGTACTTCCCGTCCAGGCCGCACCCGGGCAGCCTGCCCTTCTCGGCAGCGCCCCCCGCCTTCCCTGCGCTCACTCCGGGCTTCCCGGGCCTCTTCCCTCCATCCCTATACCCCCGGCCACCTTTGCTACCTCCCACGCCGCTGCTCAAGAGCCCCCTGAACCACACCCAGGACGCCAAGCTCCCCAGCCCCCTGGGGAACCCGGCGCTGCCCCTCGTCTCTGCCGTGGGCAACAGTGGCCAGGGCGCCACAGCCGCCACGGGGCCTGAGGACACGTTCGAGCGTCGCCTGGGGGACTCCTACGCCGAGAAGCTCAAGACGAGGGGCAGCGACATGTCAGACGGCAGTGACTTCGAGGATGTCAACACCACGACGGGGACCGACCTGGACACGACCACAGGCTCGGGCTCGGACCTGGACAGCGACGCGGACAGCGACCGGGACAAGGCCAAGGACAAGAGCAAGGCAGCGGAGGGCAAGCCCGAGTGTGGGGGCGGCGGCGCAGCGCCCCCGGGGGCCCCGGACGGCGCGGGTGAGGTGCCAGTCTTCTTCCCGCCACACGCCTTCTTCCCGCCGCCCGACGAGCAGCTGCTGACGGCCCCGGGCGCCGCGGGCGACTCCATCAAGGCCATCGCCTCCATCGCCGAGAAGTACTTCGGCCCCGGCCTCGTGGGCATGCAGGAGAAGAAGCTGGGCTCGCTGCCCTACCACTCCGTCTTCCCCTTCCAGTTCCTGCCCAACTTCCCCCCGGCCCTCTGCCCCTTCGCGGACCGCTCCCTCGCCCACAACTTGCTGGTCAAGGCCGAGCCAAGGTCCCCCCGGGACGCCCTCAAGGGGGGCGGCCCCAGCGCCGAGTCCCCCTTCGACCTCACCACCAAACCAAAAGAGGCCAAGCCCATGCTGCCCATGCCCAAGGCACCCCCGGCCCCGGCGTCCGGTGAGGAGCAGCCGCTGGACCTGAGCATTGGCAGCCGCGTCCGAGCCAGCCAGAACGGAGGGGGGCGGGAGCCCCGCAAGAACCACATCTACGGGGAGCGCAAGCTGGGGGCCGGGGAGGGGCTGCCCAAGGCATGTCCAGCGCAGCTGCCCCAGCAGCCGGCCCTGCACTACGCCAAGCCTTCACCCTTCTTCATGGACCCCATCTACAGGTATTAACACGCCCCACCTTCACCTGCTCTCCCAAAGGGGCCTCGACCGGCTGGGCAGCAGGGCTGACAGCCGCTGGGACCCCCAGCCTCCCCTCAGACCCCACGCGGGCCCCCCACTGTCTCCAGCCGTCTTCTCTGGACCAAACTCTGCGTCCTGCAAAACTGTCCTCCGGTCCCAGCACCTGCACTTCCCCGAGGCCGCCCTGGTGGCCCCCACCTCCCCCCTGGAGCCACAGCGGGGGGTTCTGGTGGCCCAGGGAAGAGCAGAGAAGGAGCCGCTGGTCTCGGGAGTGGGGGGCGGTTAGGGGGAGGAGGAGGAGGAAGCTCCAGAGGGTTTGCAAACAATCAGCACCCACCCCTCTGATAGCCCTCCTGGGAGGGGGGGCAAAATTTAATCCCCCTCCCCAGTCTCTGGGTTTTGAATCGGGTGGGTTTATTAGGTGGGAGGGATCCGAGCCCCCTCACACGCATCCTGTGGGTTCTGGGCTGGCTGGGCCAGCTGAGCCTTGAGGACAGAGGGCTGTGCTCATGATGGGCTTTGGGAGGGAGGCCTGGAGGTGCAGGGGCCGTGCCCGGGGCACGGCTGCAGGGCTCAGGCCATGCCCGTGTGGGACAGAGGCCCGCGTGCAGACACACGCGCGTGTGCACCCAGTGTCCAGGGAGCACGGGAGCATGCGGCCTGCGTTCCCCAAGGGGCCAGCTGCAGCCAGGTGGCGGGTGTGCGGGTGAGGAGCCCAGGTCCGCTGAAGGTGCACGTGGGACAGAATGATCCCAGCAAGACAGTGGCCCGGCGGGGGGAGGTCAGGCCAGTCGCAGGTCCTACCCTCTGCACTCAGCCCCCATGGCCCTGGCCGCCTGTGTCCACAGCCGGTCCTGTTTCCCGCCAGGGCCTGACATCATCATCAGGGGAGATGGGGAACATGGCCCTCTAGGTGTTTCTTTCAGAACACGCCATCCATAGACAGTTTGAGGGAGTTGAGCAGAGGTTCGAGGAGGAGCCATGACTTTCACCTGCCAAAGGCGCTCCTTAGCTTTCTGGGGCAAACGTGGCAGTCAAAAGGCCTAGAGAGTGCCTGACCATTAAATGAGATTCTCCAGGGCCCCAGGCGAGGCCCAGAGTGCCCCACGGGACGCGCAGCCCTTGTGCAGACGACTCGGGACAGTGACCGGAGGCCGAGACACAGGACCTTTCGCTCAGGCTGCAGAGCTGGATGCAGCAGGTTCTCAATTAACTTCCTGCTGCTCTGTCCCTGACCTCCCTGCCCTCTCCCCAGGCCCTCATTCTGCCCCTCTGCCCCCTCTCACCTGGTTCAGAGCCAGGAGCCTTTTTCTGGAAGCTGGAAGAACAGATGGTGGGGCCAAGAAGGGCACGTCCTCTCAGGGGTCTTCTGAGACCCAGAGTGTCCCCGGCTCTGGCCACTGGATCTAGGGTCCATGGGCTGAGGGAGGGGATGCCTGGGCCCCCACTTTGCCCATAGACACCAGCAAGATGTTCGAGTGCACCATCTCCCTGCACCCCCAAGCCCATCAAGATAAATAAGCAAAGCTGTGGGTGACCACAACTGCTCAAAAACAGGCTGGGCCCTGGGGCTAGGGGTCAGGGCCCTCCTCCGCTCCTGGGTGACTCCAGGAAAACCCCGCACCATCCCCACAGGCCAGCCCCTGGATCCTGTTCCCCCTTCACACACATAAGCCACCATTCTCCATCCCCCAGGTTCAAGGACCCCTAACGCCACCAGGCTGGCCACCCTGGCCTGCACGATCGGCTGGGCCACTGCACATATGCCCACCAGTGGTCCGCTGGGGTCAGCTGGCCTTGGTTGCTCAGGGGCCAAGCTGACACAGACCTCACATGCCCCTCCTGTGGGGGACCCCCGCTATAGGCTCGTCTTGCTGAAAGGCCAAGTCCCACACGGCCCAGCTTTGAACGGGGCCCTGGAGAGGCCCTTCAGAGCAAGATGCCCTCCAAGCCAACTCCCCACACAATCAACACTGCCTCTCCAAGAGGGGACCCTTCGCACCTTCCCCCTCATCCCCTCCCTCCTGGGCCAGGCTGGGAGTCTGGCGGGGTTCCCAGGCCCCGCGGGGATGCTCTCCTCTCCTTGCGCCGTTCCCCCCAATCCTGCCCTGGTCGCTGTCCCAGCCAAGCCCCAGTGGGCAGCTGTGCATTAGAGTGAGGACCTCACGTGGACCAAACGGGAGCGGCTGGTGCAGGGTGTGCTCAGAGGGGACGCGTCTGCGTGCGGAGAAGCGGCGGGTTTCCCCAGACAGCGCTTTGGGAACCTCTGTGGCCACAAGGAGACTGAGGCTGGCGTTGCTGGGAGACGGAGGGCGGAGGGATCTCAGGACCCGCCCCGGCCACTTTCTCCACTTGCTCTGTGAGGAACAGAGTTGTCAGCAGCATTTGGAAAATATTCTAGAATTGTCCTCTCCAGCAGCCATTGCGAGTGTTTAGGTAGACCCTACCTGGCAGCCATAGGGAGGCCCCGGGGACCCCCCGGAATGACGGCTGGGGTGGTTGGGAGAGTCTGGGGAGCACCTGGAGGATGTGGAGTGAGCATTCAGGCAGGTGGCAGGGGCCGTGGAGGTGAGCTCCGTCACGACACCCCCCCCCCCACTGTCAGGTGAGACACAGTAATCGGGGGCCAGAAGCAGGGGTCCCCACCTCGTGACTGGGGAGGCACAGGTGGGCATGGTCCCTGAGCAGCCCCAGGCAGCTCAGTGAGGTACGTAACCCTCTATGTTGTTGTCCAGCAGGGTAGAGAAGCGGAAGGTGACAGACCCCGTGGGAGTCCTGAAGGAGAAGTACCTGCGGCCGTCCCCGCTGCTCTTCCACCCCCAGGTAAGACCCATGGGGGGCCAAGCCACCTGGGAGGGCATGCCTTGGGACTCCCATTCTGGGACCCTCCAGCCAGCCTGCCCAGGCGGGCAGGTCTGTGCAGGGGGCAGGCCCTGAGCATCCATCACAGGAAGGCCTCAGCTTCCCTGCCCATCAGATGCCCAGGGGGCTTCTCTCCCTGTAGCCCTATGGGTCACTGCGAGGCCGAAGAGGGTGAGAAGGGCCAGGACGTGTGAGGAAGGAGGGTAGTGCTCTGTGGGTCCCTCGGAGGTGGCCAAAGACCCCAGACCATGGGAGGGCTCACCAGCCCATGGCTCAGGCTCTCGGAGGGGCAGTGAGCATCAACAAGGCAGTGGGCCAAAGCTCGGATGCAGGGAGTCCAAGAATTTGGAATGTAGGGGCCAGATACGGGAGGCATGGGTGTGAGCAGGATACCTACGTACGACCAGGAGGCAGGGGTCTGAGCAGGGGGGCATGAGGGGCACGGGGGATGGGGAACAAGACAGAAGCAGACGGACTGGCCCCAAGGACAGAGGTTCCCAGGAGGTGGTGGGCAGGAGGGGCCCCCTCCCCCACGACTGCAGGGGTGGGGGGTCAGGGCTGTCCGCCAAGACTAAGGTTGGGGGTCTGAGAAAGAGAACCCCCAAGTCTGGGCAGTGGCCACACACCCCGCCTGCAGGCACCCCGTCCACCGCCCGGCCTTGTCCCCCCAGGGCATAGGCACAGAGACGTCGCAGACGCGGGGATGAGCAGCAGCGCTGGGCAGAGGCTCCCCAACTCCTGCCCGAGGGCCCACCTTGCTCCCTCCTTGGGGCCCAGCCTCCTCCCCTGAGCCACAGCCTCCCCCACCCCACTTGGGGGTCCTGGGAGCTGAACTGTGGGATGGCCTGAACCAGACTCCAGACTGGGGCATTGTTCTGTTTCTCGGTGTTTCCCACCTTGGACACACACCCCCAGTTTGTGAAACCTGCCCCCTGCCTGGGTTCACAGCTAAACTTAGCGCCTCCCATTGTTTCGCTGGGGCCATGGGCTTAGCTTAATAACTTCCCCCGATTTTCCTTGGGTCGGGCTGGAAAAAGCCGACAAGCCCGCCAGGCGCATCCTGTGTTTGTGTTTGTGCGGGAGCTCAGCCGGGAACATCTGATCAGGCGGAGCAGGCCGGACAGGCCAGACCTGCAGACCGGCCTCAGGGAGACCCGCCCAGGCCTGAGGAGAGGAGGCCTGGCAGGGGGCCGGCGGCCCATTGTCCCTCCTGCCTGCTCCCCCCTTGAGCCCTGGCACCCCCATGCCTGCCCATAGGCCAGAGCGCGGGGCAGGGGGAGGGGAGGAGGACTAGGAGGTCACCTAATGAAGTGGTCTGAGGTCAGGCCACCACTTAGGCGCGATGACTGATGGCCTCTACAAAGTACGGGGTCACTCCTAGTGAGGACATCAGGCTGCGGTGGTCAGGTGCCAGGCGGGACTTTGCCAGGGCCTTTGGTTTGGGAGGCCTGACACGCGTGTGCGCAGCCCTGCGGTGCAGGGCGGCCTCAGCCCCTCACCACCTCTGGAGCTCCAGGGAGTCTCTGTGTGGAGAGTTCCAGAAACTTTCAAGGCTGCAGCTAAAACTGAGACGCAGAGCCAGGTGGGCAGCAGTCTTTGCACCTGGGTCCCCATCGTCCCGGCCGTGGAGGGGCTGCAGCCGAGGGGCAAGGCAGCTCCCATTTGCCCATCAGCGGGGACAGGGCAGGCAACGCACGCGGGCAGCATCGTGCCTCTGAGGACCGCACAGGCATTCCCGGGGGGATGGAGAGCTGAACAGCAACCCCCTGTCCTGTCCTGTCTCCAAACCCAAGCCCTCGGGGACAGGCGCCATCTGGGGCTCCGATCACAACTCTGCCCACTGCGTGGAAATGGCCGTGCTGCACTCCCGAATCCTCCCCAAGCAAGCCCCTGGTACCTCAAGGCCTGGAGAGGTGCGTCCTCTGGTCCACGTCACCATTTCCCGTGCTGCGTCACATGGGCTTCGTCCTCTGGAGGTTCCGTTAGAGCATCTGGCACTAGGCTGTTGGACTCCCGGAGAACTTTGCCTGCAATCATGACCCGTTGCCACCAGACGGCACTGCCCAGACCCGTGGCCGCTTTTAACCGGGAGGCAGGGAGCTGTCTTATTTCGAGAGAGGGAGAAAGACAGAGAGACAGACAGAGAGAGGAGAAGAGGAGAGCGGGATGTGATTCTGTCTTTAAATGGAGCCAGCCCTCCCAGGGTGCTGGCCAGGATCAGGCCAGCAGGGCGGTGCTGGGGGGTTCCCAGATCAGGGGACGTGTCACCGTGAGCCCGGAGCCTGCCTCCCACCTCACCTGCCCCCCGACAGGCAGAGAGGCAGGCTGGCGAAGGTTGGCTCCGGCTCCCCCAGCCTGGGCCCTGGGCTGACACGGGGATTCCGGGGAGCAGGGCCCGCAGAATGTGTGAGTATCCACCGGGTGGCCGAGAAGCCCAGGAGATGGCTGGTTGCACCCACAGCCTGAGGCCTGCACGAGCTTCTGCTCCTGGCCCAGCGGGGGACGTGCCCGGTCCCGGGGGACCCTCGGGTGCCCGGGGGGGATGAGGCCAGCCTCCTCAGGGGAGCCCACCATCTCGCCCACTGTCCTGCCGGCAGATGTCAGCCATCGAGACCATGACGGACAAGCTGGAGAGCTTCGCGGCCATGAAGGCAGACTCGGGCAGCTCCCTGCAGCCCCTCCCCCACCACCCCTTCAACTTCCGGTCCCCGCCCCCCACGCTCTCGGACCCCATCCTCAGGAAGGGCAAGGAGCGCTACACTTGCAGGTGAGGCGGGGCCTGCAGGGGGCTGCTGGCGGGTGGTCCTGGCCAGGGGGCCACAGGTGCCACGCTGTGGCTGTGAGCCTGGGCTTCCTGGACAAACCATCCAGACACAGCACAGTGTAGAGGCAGGCAGTGGTCCATTCACGGGTGGCGGTCATTCGCTGGCCCTGTGTGTGTGGGGAGGGCGTGCTGGACGTCCCCCGCGCCAGCAGGCTGTTTCCATGAGCACAAGGAAACGCAGCCTTAGCCTAGCCGGTCAGAACCCAGAGGGTCCAAAGTCGAGGGGGGCTGGTCGGCATTTAACCGAGACCCTCGGAGTCAGGTGCAAAGCCCGGTGTTGGGGAGAGACACGCGCCGTGTCCGTCCCCAGCCCGTGAGCCTGTCCTAAGCGGTGCGAGCAGCTCGGCCGCCCTCAGGCTGCTCGGGGAAGGGCACAGCCGAGGCAAGCCACAGTGGGCCGAGCCCACCTGCCCCCCAGGTGTGGGGCTCGGGCCTAGACCCCGAGGTGGAGGAACCACGCCAGGAAAGCATGTGGGCACCTGAGCCTACAGGGGGGCGACTGCCTCACGGTCCCCCTGCCCCTCCACCCCAGGTACTGTGGCAAGATCTTCCCCCGATCAGCAAACCTCACGAGACACCTGAGGACGCACACCGGGGAGCAGCCATACAGGTAGGAGCCCCCTATTTGGGGGGGGGGGAGGCTTCGGTGAGATGGGAAGGGTGGGGGTGGGAGCCAGCATCCTTGTGTCAGGTGGCTCCCTGGGACCCCCTCCTGACCCCACAGCCATCCTGGGCCCCGGGGGTTATAAAGATTCGGCAGGAGGTGCCCAAGCGGGCTTCCTGAAGACTCCGAGTGGGGTGCCTGGGTGCCGCTCTCCCACCGGCCGTTCTTGCCTGGGGCAGGGAGTTGAGAGCGACGCTGGCCAAAGTCGGGGCCCCGGGGGGTCTGTTGGAGAAGTCTCGCTCCACCCCCTCCCAGCTCAACTCCCAGAGAGCGGCTGGTGGGCCAGGGTGGGTGCCTGAGGCAGGGCAGGCAGTGGGAAAGGAGCTCCGTGCGAATTCGGGTCCCAGCCTGGGCTTGGAGTGTCCTAAGGGATTCGCTTGCCAGCCCTGGATGGAAGCCATGTGCCTCCTCTCCTCCTGTCCCCTCAGTGCTGGGCTTCTGCCTGCAGAGATGCAGCCACACAGCAAGTCCATGTGGGAGCCATCACCTTTCCTGTTCACAAGTGGGGGCATCATCCCCGTTTCAAAGATGCAGGGTCAGAGGCTTAGACCCCATGACTTGCCCAGGGTCAGCGTCCGCGTCCAGCAGACCGTTCTGCCCCTGGGAGAGGTAGATCCTGCTCCTTGGTCCCTGGGGCCTTTTTCGGGCAGGAGAAGGGCTGGGGTGACATCCCCGGTTCGGGGACCCCACCCAAGGAGGGCCCTGAGAGTTGGCATTTTAAATGAGAGACCCAGGTGGTGGTGACCATGAGGCAAATCAGGGAAAACGCTGGTTTAGACGCCAAGACCTCATTCCGGGGTGTGTCTGGTGAACGGCAGCCGCTGGGAATAAGGAGTTTGGCATGGCTTTAAGTTGGCAGCATGAGATTCCTACACTCTGGCCACACAGAGCTCAGAGTACCCCCGTGGCTCCAGAGACTCGGTGGGCTTCCCCGTCCCTGGGAAGGGCAGCCACGTGGGGTGCCCGCCAGAGTTGTGGTCCCCGTGCCCCACCCTGAGGTGTAACAGGCATCGACCGCCACCGGGCCGCATCCTGGGCAGATGAGTGACAGCACATCTACTGAGCTGGGTACCCCCCGCCTGTCCCCGACACACAGGCCCCCACCCCCCGCCCCCCAGAAGTGGCTTACGATTCCACAAAGGCTCACAAAGGAAGGAATGACTTGGTCTGGCTTCCTCCCTGAAATGAGAGCCGCCTTCTGGACAGTGTTGCTCACAGGAGCCCCCAGAGGGTCGGGCTGTGTTTACAGAAGAATTTAATTACCATTGATTTCTTTTGCTCTCTCCAATCTGCAAGTTTCGACTTGTGTAACAGTAATTGCTTTGAAAGTTTGCATTGCAAATCCTGACTTCATCTGGCTCAAGGCAGCCCTGAGATGGGGAGTGTGATGCGTGTGACTCCTTTTGCCATCACGGGGAGGGGGTGTCTGGGCTCACCTGGGTCACTGGAAGAATTTAAATTGGAAGAGGAAAGTCCATCCATCCGTCCGTCCACCCACAGAAACCTACCGTCCAGGGGATAGGCCCCACCAAAGGAGAAGGACCCCCACCCCCAGCGAGGCCGATTCAACGCACCCGTTGCCTGGCCCCGTAAGCTGAGCTCGGCTCGGGGCCGGCCCCACGTGTGCAGCGCTGTGTGCCCGCCCGAGTCCCCTTGCGAGCCAGAGGAGGCCGGGCTTGTCCCAGGCTGCAGAGTGACAGACAGACTAGACAACGCGGGACACTCTTCCTTTTCTGTCTCTGCCTGAGATTACCTAAAATCGCTCAGAATGGGTTCCAAAGCCCTGACTCCAGGAAAGAAAGACCCTTTCGTGTGACCGACGGTGTGTTTCCTGGAGGGAAGGTCAACCTTCCTGCTGGGCCGGGTGTCCTCAGCTAATGTCTTCTCCAGGCTTAGAGAGCTTGGCCTCAGGCTGGGAGACAAGGTGCAGTTAAACACACTCTCATTCCCTAAAGCTGTGGCCGGTAGGGCTTGTTACAATTGGGGCTGGACAGACAGAAAGCTGGACTCAGGAAGGAGGGGCTGCTTCTTGCCTCCTTCCTGGCGGCCACGCCTGGGGTCCCTCGGGACACTGCCCCGGGCACGCACCTTCGAGGGCTGGCCTGCGTGCTCCTGGCGGGATGTGAGGTTCTGGCTTTGGGGACACACGACTCTCCATCTTCAGCTCGTTTCCTCCCCGTGAGCGAGGCCCTGTTCCTATTGCCTCAGGTGGCCCAAACCTGTCCCCTTGCTTTTCTAGTTCTGTTTTTCAGGGCTGGATTTCAGAACTCTCCTCTTGCCTTCCGTTCCCCTGCATTGACAGTTACCAGGAGCGTTTCTCCCTGGGACAGCTGGTGTGGCCCGGCTGGGTCCCGGGGAGGACACTGCGCCCTCCCCCACCCCGTGCTGGCTTCCCTGGGGGGGAGGGGGCGCTGCGGTCACTGCAAGGTCCTCTCAAGGCCCTCGGCTGCACGCTGCCGGGGCCGGCCGGTCATTCCTTGCTGCAGAGAGTGCAACGCCGTGCCGTTTTACACAGCGAGGCCATAAATGTCACTAGCCACTTGTCAGCATAGTTACAACATGAATGCCAACTGCCCCGAGACCTCTGGCCTCCCCAAAGCCCAGGGCTCACTGCTCCCCTAAATCTCAAATGGGCTTCTCGGTCTGGGCCATTTATCCAGATTAAAACCAGGAGAGGGCCCCTCTCTGTGAGCAAATCGAGCGTGCAGCTCCCCCCTGCCCCCTCTCCAGCCCCATGGAGGTTGGAAAGAGAACTGCATTTCTGGTGGCAAGAAACAATCCTGTCCAACCCCGTCTTCTACTCATAACTGCCACCGCTCGGAGTCTATGTGGCAGTGTTAGGTGAAGCCCGTCAAAGGGTCCCTGACTTTCCAAGGAAACACGGCAAGGGATGCTGTGCGAGGGTGTGTGTGAGCCCACGTGCGGATAGGCCCCAGGGAGGCCCGTCGTCTGGGTCAGGGGGCGAGCACCCAGACCAGCTTGGCCTTGCACTTGGTCCTTCCTGAGCGATTGCTGTGAGGAGCAGGACGGTCGTCTGGGAGCCTGGCACCATGGGGGGCAAGGATTCGTCTGTGACGGAATGAGACGGTGCATCCTGGGACGTAAAAACCCTCCTTTCTGGACCCTTGTGTGGGGGAGCACCAGGTCACCGGGTAGCCAAGCACAGCTGACCCCGCCGTGCGGAGGGCTCAGGCCTCCGTCCCCGAGCACGCCGAGACAAATAGCCAAGGGCACCTTTGTAGGCCTTCCAGGACAATGGGTCCTCGTCGGGGCCTGTGAACGGCAGGAGACGTGGGAAGAGAGGCTGTGACCAAAGCGCCAGGCCCCAGGGGCCTGGAAGCAGCTTAGCCGGGTGGGGCCGAGCACAGGTGGACCCAGGCCCACCGGCAGGGAAGGCAGAGGGTCGCTCAGAGGAGGCCAGGGACGGTGGCCCAAGCCGTTCGGGAGAAGATCTCAGACGGCTCTTCGCCCACCGACCGTGGAGGAAGCCAGAGTCAGCGAGGCCTCGGCCGAGAAGCTCCAGAAACTGAATGAGAAAAGCTCTAGAATCGTACCGTGGGAAACCCGGAAGCCCCTGTAGCGGCCGCCCTCCCTGTTCTCTGTGGGCCCATCATCAGGCCCCCGGGTGGAATGAGGCAGGACGCGGGCTTCCCCGGACAGGTTCACAAAGCTGCCCTTCAGGGCAGAGAAACCTCAGCTCCTGGCACAGCGCTAACAGCCCCGGAGGCTCAGAGGCTGGTGGGAGCCTAATGCTTCCTGCCTCGGGGACCCCAGGGTGCACTGTGACCGCCCAGACTGGCCGCGCAGCTGTCACAGGGCAGGAGCGAAGGCCCGCCTCACACAGCCCTGCTGGCCCAGCCCCGCACCGTCCTCAGGCGCAGCTCCAGACCCAGTGCCTGCATCCTGTGCTGGAGCGATTGGGGTCGGGGGGCCCTCCTGCGGGAATGCCTGGCCGCCAGACTCAGGACGGGTCCCTGGCACCTTCCAAGCTGCACCCCTCTGGAAGAGCATGCACCCCCACGCGTGCGCCCTTCGGGGGCCTGCTGCGTAGACCGGCTCCTGAGGGAGACTCAGTGGGCCAGGACTCCGCCTGCCTGCCCCCGTCCTGTCGCAGGAGCTGTTTGCTTCCAAACATGGAAAATAAATGAGCACGTGGACGGTGTTTCCTGGGCTCATGTGCCTCTGACGCCCAGCGGAGCAGCCCCGAGGGGTGCTGGAGCCCAGACGCACACGCACAACACGTGTGTGCACGCGTGCTCATCAGCACACGCATGTGTGCTCCTGGACACAGCTGAGGCCCGCGCTCAGAGCCGCGGGAGCCACTCCAGGAAGCCATATGGCCTGGGCTTGGACTTCTGCCACCAGGAGGGGCCGGCGCCCGGCAAGGCCGCTCAGGGGTCTACAGACTTGTGCAGGCGGCTCCCTGGGCCACCCGTCTCTCCAGCTCCAGGCTCGTGCACGCTCTCCGCTCCTGGCTACTTGGTGTGGGTATTTCCCCGAACTGGGAGGATAACCCTCCCTTTCCTGCCCTCGGGGCTGTGAGCAGGGTCGAGAAGGCTGCACCCCCACAAGGCCCCACACCCAACGGGGCACCACTCCCGTCACAGATGTTCAGGTGGACACGACTGAAGCGTCTGGAGGAAGAGCTTCTTGTTCGGATTTTCCCGAGCGCATGGCCGGGCTGGCGGTCACCTTCTGCACAGGAGCATAGAAATCAAGGGATCACGTGGGGCCGGCAGTGCCCTCGCCCGAAGGCTGTGGTCATGTGTGGTCCCTAGAACAGCGGTGGCCTGACAGGCAGCGAGACCGGGGAGCCCCTACCTCACCTTCCGGGAAGTTACAGATGCTGAAGAGGGCCTGGGGCAGGCCCCGAGCTCCCCCATTCATGAATTGGCAAGCTGAGGCCCGAGGACCCACTGAAAGGCGGCCAGGTCCAGGCCAGCTGCCTGCATGCAGGGTGGGGGTCTCTAGGCCAGGGAGCGGGTCTCCTTCTTCGGGGAAACCGCGGGAGGGTCTTTCCACGGTGCACGGCCGCCCCCTTGAGGCCACTGGGAGCATGCGCCCTCGGACAGAGCCTCCGAGCAGGACCCTGACGCGGAGGCGGGAGACTGGGCGCTGCTCGCCCAGGGGCACGGGCCCAGAGGGTCCCCTGCAGCAGCCCGCGGCGCATCCCAACTCCGCCCGCCTCCCTCCTGTCAGTAGGCAGAGGACAGCTTCTTCCTCGGGCCGCGGGCCTTTGTAGCACAGCCTGCCCGCCCTGCAACAGCGCCCCGGGAAACGGGGGCACCGGGGTCTCCGCCAGGCGGGGGGTGGGGGCTGAGGCCGCGCACGGGGCGGGGTCCAGGCTCCTCTGAGACGCGTGTGTCTTGCAGGTGTAAGTACTGCGACCGGTCCTTCAGCATCTCCTCCAACCTCCAGCGGCACGTACGGAACATCCACAACAAGGAGAAGCCCTTCAGGTGCCACCTGTGTAACCGCTGCTTCGGGCAGCAGACCAACCTGGACCGGCACCTCAAGAAGCACGAGCACGAGCACGCTCCAGGTGCGGCCGCGGCTACGCTGAGTGCGAGAGCGTGGAGGGGAGGGTTCGAAAGATGGGAGCCACAGGAAGAGATGGCAGGTGGAAGGGGGGGGAGGGGAGAGGAAGATGGGGAGGGAGGGGAAGATGGGGAGGGGAGGGGAGGGAGGGGAAGATGGGGAGGGGAGGGGAAGATGGGGAGGGGAGGGGAGGGGAAGATGGGGAGGGGAGGGGAGGGAGGGGAAGATGGGGAGGGGAGGGGAAGATGGGGAGGGGAGGGGAGGGAGGGGAAGATGGGGAGGGGAGGGAGGGGAAGATGGGGAGGGGAGGGGAAGATGGGGAGGGGAGGGAGGGGAAGATGGGGAGGGGAGGGAGGGGAAGATGGGGAGGGGAGGGAGGGGAAGATGGGGAGGGGAGGGAGGGGAAGATGGGGAGGGGAGGGGAGGGAGGGGAAGATGGGGAGGGGAGGGAGGGGAAGATGGGGAGGGGAGGAAGGGGAAGATGGGGAGGGGAGGGGAGGGAGGGGAAGATGGGGAGGGGAGGGAAGATAGGGAGGAGAGGGCAGGGGAAGATGGGGAGGGGAGGGGAGGGAGGGGAAGATGGGGAGGGGAGGGAAGATAGGGAGGAGAGGGCAGGGGAAGATGGGGAGGGGAGGAGAGAGGGGATGGAGAAGATGGGGAGAGGAGGGAAGACGGGAGGGGTAAGACGGGAGGGGAGGGGAGGAGAGGGGAGGGGAGGGGAGGAGAGTAGAGGGGAGGGGAAGACAGGGGAGGGGAGGGGAGGGAGGGAAAGGGCAGGGCTCAGCTGAGGGATGCCCCTCCTCTGATGCTCCCCTCTCCCCACAGTGAGCCAGCACTCCGGGGTCCTCACGAACCACCTGGGGACCAGTGCCTCCTCCCCCACCTCTGAGTCAGACAACCATGCACTTTTAGACGAGAAAGAAGACTCCTATTTCTCTGAAATCAGAAACTTTATTGCCAATAGTGAGATGAACCAAGCATCAACACGAACGGACAAACGGTAAGAAATCGATTCCGGACCCCAAGAAGATCTAGATCCAGAGCCCACGTGTGTGGCCACACCCAGAGGAGCCCCCCACAGCACTGGCCCCCGGGTGCCCCCAGACAGGGACCGGGGCCCACGGCAGAGGGGGAGACCGATGGGCATGGCCGGCATCTATTCTGGCCCTGGCTCTGCCACCTAGAAGTGGCCGCGGGGGGTGGGGGGCTTCAGCAAGGACTAACTGCCCCCCGCCTCAGTGTCTGGGTCTGCAGAGGGTGAGGGGCGTAAGTGTCCCGACCAGTAATGGCCGTGGGGTGCCAAGGCGCCGGCCTGGTTTGGCTTGGGTGTCACAGGTGTGCGGCAGAGCACGGACCAGGCGAGGGCTCCTGCCACGAACCCTGCTGGGGGCCTGAGAGTCCAGAACATTTCCATTTAATCCAAGGCACTGAAGGTCTCCTAACAGGAGTGCCCCCCACACACGTGCATATGCACTCACACACATGCACACAAAACCACAAGGCATGCACACATACATAGATGTGTGTGCACGAAGCCACACAGATATGCACACTGTGTACACACATGTACACACATGCACGTGTGCAAGAAACCACAGACATGCACGCGCATGCACACATACATACACACATGCACACACGCACGCGTGCAAGAAACCACAGGCATGCACGCGCATGCACACATACATACACAGGCATCCACACGCGTGCACATGTACACGTATGTGTGTGCGAAACCACACAAGCACGCATGTATGTACACATGTATACACGGGCACAAATGCATATACACACGTGCACATGCACGCACATGCACTGCTATGCACATGCATACGAACTCACACATGCTCACACGTACATATGTATACGTTCACATGAAACCACACATACAGGCATAAATAGGTGTCCACACACACGTGCACTCACACACACACGTACACACACTCACAATGACATGTGCACACACGTACACACATATACATGCACTTGCACACATACACATGTATGCGTGCACATGAAATCACGCATGTGCACACATAAACAACACATGCAAACACATACACTTGTACACATATGTACACGTGTACCCACACGCACACATGCACCCACACATGTGCTCATGGCGGCAGGAAAATGGCAGAACTCAGATTCAAGATATGGAAGGTGTTCTGCACAACCCTGGATCCCAAGGCTCAGCGGATGGCATTGCCTCCGGGGGTCCCTGTGGAAGGACACTTCAGACCCCCAAGGTAAACATTCTCCTTGGGTAAACGCTGGTGCCAGACCAGCTGGAAAAAAACGGAGACACTCCAAACACCAAGAAGCCTTGGGGTGCAATCCCCTAATTCTGCAGTGGAAAACTGAGCCCAGCGAAGTGTGGGGCCTTGCTCCAGCCATAAAGCCAGGCCAGAACCTGGAGCCAGAGCCCTGGCCTTGGCCCTTACTCAGATCTGTGGTTCCCCCAAGGCCAGGCGCCATCCCCGCCCACCCCCAGCCAGTGAGGGGGGTCCTCAGGAGACCCGGCTTCCTCCAGGACAGGCTGCATCTTCGGTACTCCTAGGGGAAGGCCTGTCGAATTTGTAAATGAACTTGGACTTTTCCTGGGGCCGCCACATGCTAAGTCGTGCCCCCTGGAAGGTGATCTCACCTGCCTGCTGGGTAGGGCCCTGGGGGGGGGCTCCGAGGAGGGGCTGGTGGGAGAGTCTGGCTGTGGGCTCCGCTTTCCAGAGCCTGACCCTGGCTCGGCAGTGGAGATTCCGGCCCGGATGCAGTCCTGCCTGCTCTGCTGTGGACAGAGCGCCCTTGTCCATCCATGGCTCCCGGCACACACACGGTGGTCTCACAGAAACCTAGATCCCTGCCCCTCAGGAGGCACGGGGAGCCTGTGTTCAGGCAGCTCTGCAGCCCGTTTGAGAGAAAGTCACAGATGTGAGGACCCAGGTGCCAGGCCTTATCAGAGCCCTGCTGATGGGCCACAAGACACATCCTGGCTGTTAAAGACTGTCCTTTGGACTGAGACTCTGCACCCAGGACAGGCAGATGAAGAACCTATGAGGATTTGTCAGTAACGTCCTCCACGGGGTGCACCAACCTCCAGGACCACCAGAAAGGCCCTCACGCCTCAAGCCCGGGGGGCAGGCCCAGCTCTTAGCCGTGAGGAGGACTCTCCAGGAAACCCACTGGGACAGAGGGGAGAGGGAGGAGACCACAGCACCCTGACCTTCACCATGGAGCATCTCACCAGCGCTTTCCCGACCACCCCTGGTGGCAGTCAGACAGAGGAGACTGGCCCCAGATCCCTCAGGAAGCCCCGGGGCAGAGAGCCGACCACAAACCCAGGCCCTCGGATATCCTGTCCCGCTGAGGCCTTGTCCTGGGCGCTGGGGAGCCTCCAGGAGATGCCCCACGTCATGGCTGGAAGTGAGAACCACGATCACAGGTGACATGAATCCATTAATCTGTGTAAAGTGGTGAGACGTTGGCGGTTCCGTTTGGGGCCAAGATCAACATTATCCGGTTCACATCCAGAACCAGTTTCCTTCTCTTGACCATCAGGGAGAATTTAGGGACAGCCAGGCTTCCTGGCCCTATAACCCCTTTAATACCTGGGCTGAATTGTATCCCCCCAAAATCCTAACCCCTCGTGCCCCGGAATGTGGCCTTATTTGGAAACAGGGTCTTTACAGATGTAGCTGGTTAAGATGAGGTCATCGGGGTGGCCCCCAATCCCACGTGATGTCCTAAGGCGAGATCAGGACACAGACGCACACGCGGGACACAGGACACAGATGAAGCAGAGCTGGGGCGATGCGGAGATGCCGCTGCCTCCAAGGGGCGCGGAGGACCGCCAGCCACCCCCAGAGGCCTCAGAAGGGAGCAGGCCCGCCCGCGCCTGGATCTCGGACTCCGGCCTCCAGAACCAGGAGAGTCGGGGCTCCTGGGGTTGAAGCGCCGGCCCGGGGCAGGGTCACGGCGGCCCCGGGACGTCACGTGCCGCAGGCGGCTGTTTGGAGGCCTGGACACCCACGCAGGTGCTGCCAGCCTGCCGGACCCCATCCCCGGTCCCTGCTGCCCCTCCCCGGGCGCTCCTGCTTGATGAAGCCCCTTGCCAGTGGGCAGATGGGTCGTGGGGGCTGTGCTCCCTGCTCCCAGAGGGGCTCACACATAGAACCACACAGCACACTTGGGTTCGATTAAACATGCACGGAGCTGCCTGTGGAACAGAATCCGAGTCCCGGCCCCCAAGTCTCCCACCGGCGCTGTTCGTCCCATCCTCAGCATGGGAGTGTTCCCACGTTGCCAAGAGGGCACAGACTCTGAGCTGGCAAGGCCCCCCTGGCGGAGGGGGGACCACAGGGAGGGGCAGGACCCAGTCCCGGCCTGTGTCACTTGGCTCCAGAGCCCCTGTCGTTGGTGGGCGGACGTGTTCTGGTGACAGCACAGCTGAGACCCCCAGGAAGGGAAGCATCAGGCAAGGTTCTGCCCGTCTGGGAAGGCAGGTCAGGTGTCAGCATCTTGTACTTTTCTCTGGGAAAAGCAAGGAGGAAAGATGAGGATGGCCGAGAGCCCAGCCACCAGGGGCCTCCGTGGCCCGGCCCGTCTGCACAAGCCCCTGTGTCTGGAGGCCAGTGTCACTCAGAAAGGGCGCCCCCCCTCTGCCTCGACGCCGAGAGCAGGACTCCTGCCTCCCCTGACAGCTGCGGACGGATTTCTGCGGGCCATGCAAGGTCCAGGAGGAGTGGGGGCCCAGATGTGGGCTCGGGAGGCATGTGCCCACCCTCCCTGCCCCCCTCCACCTGCATGCTGGACACCTGCCAGGTGGCCCTCGGGCTAGTGGCATTTTCTGAAAGAAGCAAGAAGGCTCGCCCTTGCTCAGCTTGGCTTCTTTCCTTTTAAAAACGAGGATCCAGATTGGAAAAGTCTCATCCAGCTGGAGTGACACTGAGGGAAATGAGGTGGGGTCTGGCCTGCAGGAGAGAAGCCACCAGTCCCTGAAACAACCTCATCTGGGCAGGTTTCCCTGGCTGACAACAGCCCAGCCCTTGTTCTGCAGAACCCCAGGATCCCAGACCTTCCATCTGCAAAGGGGACCCATCACTCTGGGTAGCCAGTGTCCCTATGTCCTCATGGCTGGCCAGGAGGACTGAGCAAGGGTCGATCAGCAAACCTCCCCAAGGGCACCCCTTGTGCAGTGCCCAACCCCAGCTCCAGCACCTAAGACCCCCTTCCCCACCAGACTGGCCGTGGCTTCCTTCCCTGACACACACACCCTGAATCCCTGGCGGCCGGTGTCCCCTCGGGAGCCCTGCTGCTGAGGCACCCTTCTCTCCTCAACCTACTCCACAGGGGCGGCAGCCCAGGCCGAGGGCTTGGACGAGGCACTCAGCACCTCGGCTCGGAGGACCCCCATGACCACGAAAGCAGGCTCTCTTCACAAGGGGTGAGGACAGTCGCAGGCCTTTTGGGGTCTGAGGACAACTCCCTCCCCTGTCACTCCAGGCCGGAGGTCCGGGACCGGGACGGCAGCTCGCAGTGTGCGGGCCTAGCCAGCGGGAAGCCGGAGGATGCGGAGGAGGAAGAGGAGGAGGAACTGGAGGAGGAGGAGGATGACAGTCTGGCGGGGAAGTCCCAGGACGACACCGTGTCCCCCACGCCTGAGCCCCAGGGGGCCTATGAGGATGAGGAGGACGAGGAGCCGCCCACCTCACTGGCCGTGGGCTTCGAACACACCCGAAGGTGGGGACCGGCCCTCCGTGGGCCACGCCTGGGCAGCCTCACAAGCTAGGGCCCGGGCCGGGGAGGGCCCTGAGCGTCATGAGGGTGACCTCACCCTCAAACCACCCAGGACCCCACCATCCCCCCAGCTGGGCTCACCCTCATTCCCAGCAGGCGTCTCCCCCGCGGGAGGGGGGCCTTCCACACGCAGGCCCAGGCGAGGCCTGACTGAGCAAGGGGGTCGGGGCCCAGCCCACCTCCCCCCGACACACACACACTTCCCCAGAAGGGAGAGGCACGCTCCCGAGCTGCGAAGGACCTGGTCCTGCCACCCCACCGTCTCTGGTGAGTGGCCCGGGCAGTGACGCCTGGCCCGAGCCGGCTGTGCTGAGCAGGGGCTCAGCGAGCTTTGGACGTGGTGCCGGCTGGGGCCCCTTCCCGTGCGGCCCGACTGCCCCCGTCCTGCGTCTGGCACCGGCCGTGCTCCAGCGTTCCAGACCTTCCTGGGGAAGTGGATCCAGGAGGCCTGCTCCAGGGACGGCCAATCCCCCCTGTCCCCGGGGTCCTGGGAGCGGGAGCCCGGCCCCTCCAGAGCTGCCTCCGGATCTGTCCTCCCTTCCCAGAGACCCGGGCACCCCGCCTGCTGCTTGCAATGTGTGTGCACGTACTCACCGCCTTCCGTGCCCCTCTGTCCGTCCCTCTCCTGCATCTGTGTGGCTTCTGTCCAGGTGTCCATGTGTCTGTGTGTCTGTCTCCTTGTGCATGTGGCTCGTGGAGACGCCGGGGCGTGCATGCGGGCACGGAGCCCGCCGTGGGGCGTCAGAGAGGCGGTCAGAAGCCAGACCAGCTAACGCCAGGCCCCTCTCCCCGGTCATTGGTGCAGGTGTATTGAGGAGCAACCAGGCGGCCTGTTAGCTTTGGAGCCGATGCCGACTTTTGGGAAGGGGCTGGATCTCCGCAGAGCAGCTGAGGAAGCGTTTGAAGTTAAAGATGTGCTTAATTCCACCTTAGATTCTGAGACTTTAAAGCAGACACTGTACAGGCAGGCTAAGAACCAGGTAGGTACCCAGCAGAGCCCCCCCTCCCGGCACCCCCAGGCTGGATGGCGGGTGGCGGCCGCGCCTCCTTTGCTGGTGGCCGTCCTATGCGTGGGGCACAGCAGGACCACGGGTCCCCGGGCCCGTTGCCTCGGCTAGAGAGACGCCCAAGCGACAGCTACTTCCCCACAAGCAGGGGTGGGGCAGGGAGAGATCGAGGCAGGTGAATGTGAGCCGGGCGCTCACAGGCACGTGGGTCACTGTGCTCTTGTCCAGGAGCTGGTGTCCAGCCTGGAAGCTATGTAGGCCTCCCTCCCTCTGATCCGAGCAAGCGTGGCTGGCAGCCCAGGCTTCTCTTGAAGGAAGCTGTCCGTCATGCGGTCAGTAATTCCAAGCTGGAGCTGTGACAGGGTCAGCAAGGGCACCCGGGTGCACCTCGACACCATTCCTTAGGACAGGCGGCCACAGGGCCCTGCTTCCTGCTTCCATCCATCTGGAGGGGCGAGGTTTCCGTCAGCCCACCCCGAGTCTCAGCAAAAACCGTCTGCGTGTCTGTCTTTGTCTTTTACTAATCCTGTCCAGAGTGTGAACCCGGGTGGGAGGAGGGTTGGCCTTCCCCCACCCCGCTCTGCTCTGAGTGGCCGCCCAGGTCCCATTGCCTCGTGCCCTGTGGCTCGTGGCAGAAGGAGCATCCTGTGGACTAGCCATGCTCCGGGCTCGGCTCAGACAAGCTGTGCATCCGCTTCCCCAAGTAGCTCTGTACTGTCCCCACAGCTGTCCAGACGGGCAGCCCCCAAGGCCCACCAGACAGGGACGGCCTCTTGTGGACTACCAGCCAATTCCCGGGGCCCTCGCAAGAGTGGGGTGGGGCAGAGAGGTGACTGCAAGGGGGAAGCACCCCCAAAGAGCTGCGGGAGCCCCTGTGCAGGCCAGGACCCTGGCACCTTGTCCCTCTGCATGGGAGCCCAACTGACGTTCACACACACCTCCAGCCCCACCCCACCCCCCGCATCTACCTCTTCCGGGCCCCAGGGGAGAGTCTGGCCTTCCCCCTCTCTGTCCGGATCTGGGCAAGGCTGAGCCCAGCCAGAGGGCAGCGGGGGGCCAGGAAGGGCCAGCCTGGGATCTGCAGAACCCCAGCTCCCACGGCTCACCTGTCTGTCCTGTGTGTGTGTGTGTGTGTCCTTGTCCTCTCCCCGGCCAGGCGTATGCAATGATGCTGTCCCTTTCCGAGGAAGCTCCTCTCCACACCTCCTCCCAGAGCCCTCTGGACGCTTGGTTGAACATCACGGGAGCCACGCCGGAGTCCGGAGCCTTTAACCCCATCAACCACCTCTGACGGGCCCAGGAGGGGCCGGGGTCAGAGTCCAAGCAAGGCGACCTCGGGGCCCCATCGTCCCAACAGAAATCCCGGCTGCGGAATATGGAGAAGGGAGCCTCGGGGAGCGGCGTGCCCTGGGCCAGGGAGACCCCCCCACTGCCCCGTCACCTGCGTTGACCACTCCTCAGCATCCGTCCCCCCACACACACCATGGTTCAGCTCTAACTTTTCCAGTGAAAACTCAGAGCCCAGGAGTCCCTGAGCCGTCCAGGAGGCCCACCGTCCAAGAATTGGTCTTAAGAACAGCGTTCCGGAAGGGTACAGTGCACGGCCGGCCACGCCTCATAGAACCAACCCAGTGGATGAGGGTGGGATTTTAATCCCAGACTGAATGAAGGCAGCGGGCCACTGGGGCATCCGTGGGGTGTCTCAGAAAGGACCGGACAGACACGGGTGTGCTCTGCAAAGGGAGATCACCCAGACGATTTTTTATAATGAGAATTACAAGAGTAACCCTTTTGGTAATCTTATTGACGACAGAGTCTATTTAAGCATGTGGTTTTAAAAATAGACAGTATTTTTTAAAAAATCGAAAGATGACTTGCAAATTGTTTTTTAAAAGTAATTTTGCATTGCTTTCAAATCTCCGCTTCTTTGCAAACCCAAACCTGCCTGGAAACTGGTACTGTGTCTGGGTGTGTTCTTTATACTGTAGATAACGGAGAAGTTTTCTATCCCTGACCATATTTGTAAAGCCAACGTGATCCTGGGTGCCCCCGAGCAGAAATGAGGGGCCTGGGGCCCCCGCCTGCGAGCAGTTTCAAACTGTACGGTGGAACTCTCAGACATGGTATCCTGGGCTGGCCCAAGGCTGCGAGAGAGGCCTGTCGCACGCGTCCCACGTGTGCGGCATGGGATTCATGCCTGTGGCCCCCACCAAGACCCCCCAATTGTATGGAGGAGGTGTGAGAGCGGTGGGCCAGGCACCCGACGCTCCTCCCGACAAGGTCCACGCATCAGCCACACCCGTGCCGGCCCCCCATGGCCGCTCTGTGGAAGGCAGGGCCCACCGGCTACTTCTCCAGCACCCCCCCCACCCACCCCCGTCAGACGGACAAGGGGAAGGAAGCGGTCATCCCCCCCCTCCGTGGCCTCCGCGGGGCGCACTCTGCGGCTCACCTGCCCCAGGCCGCCGGGCTCTGCCTGCGTGAGACCCCGGCTCTGGGACATGACCGCCACCTCTTTGTGCGGCTTCTTGGCAGGCCAGACCAGCTCCAGAACGGAAGGGCCTCCGGGTAGGACCTGCCTCCCGGGAAGCCAAGACCGCACGGCCCGGCCGGACGGCACCTCCTCAGGATGGATCTGCCTCTCCACTCGGATGGGCTTTAAATTATTCCCATAGGGGCCAATTTCAAATCATAATTTTTTTTCCCTGATGGAATTTACCTTAATCTGTATATAACTTGTAATTTTTTCTAATTCATTTCTTTTCTTATTTTATTTCTTCCTTAACAGTATTTTGGCATTAGACATTCTTATTGTGAAGGAATAATGTTAATATAAGTATCTAGTGAAGGACCAAAACCGTGCATAAGGTTGTGTGTTGTGTGATCGATAACCAGGGAGTGGGGAGGTTTTTAATGTGCCAAATACCCCCGCGCCCCCCGACGGATCCTGCTGCCCGTTTCCAGACAATCACGTGTTTTTGTTAAATTAGAGTTTCAGTTACATTTGCATTTAAGACAAGTGTTCTATTTATTTCTTTTATTGTTTGGAAGGAAAAAAGAATAGCGTCCCAACCGGAAGAGAAAAAGATCGTCCAAGTTGCCCTTGAAAAAGAATGTAGATGCAAGCGGCAGGGGTAGGCGGGGCGCCTGGGGACGGGGCTCCGGTGCACGAGCCCTGGGCACTGGCCCAGGGGCGGCAGGCCGGTCAGAGCAGCCGAGTCCCCGTGTCCCCGCCGCTCCAGGCCGGCGACAATCGTGTGCTTCCGCGCTGGGAGAGCTGCGTGGGGAGGCCCCGAGGGTGCCACACCGCTGCGGGCCCCGGGGGAAGGGTTCTCCCCGCTCCTGGCCCACGGGAGGCAGCGAGACCGCACCCGGGCCTCTGCCACACACCCACAGGCTGGCAGGGCACCCTGCTCGAGGAAGAGCGGGCGAAGGCCCGTGGGCGAGGCTTTGCAAACACAGCCCCTCACCTCCTCGCGCGCATCCACCCTGCCAGGGTCGCAGGTGCGGTGTGGGATTTCCCCTCCACCCAGGTGGGACCCCTTTGCAGAGTCAACCTCAGATACGAATGCCCATTTCTGTAAACCCAAATTATATTTCTTCTGCTAAAGAATAAGGTGTGTGCTTTTTTTTGCGATATGACTCTCTCTGCCTAAAATAGGAAATTTGGCCTGAGCACCAGGGTGGAGACTTGAGCGTCTGTTCTCCGTGGTCCCAGAACAGATAAGGGACCGTGGCCGCCGCCTCTGGACTGCTCCGTGGGCTGTGGCCATCCGTCATTTCCGGCCAGCCGTGGCCGCATCTTCTCTCTCCCTCCTTCCCAGAGCCCCACCTGCTCATCTTCAGCCCTTACTTTTGTCCCCCTGAAAATGATTAGAGCTAGCCCCATTTCTCCTGAACGTTCAGCCCCTTGGGCCCAAGCACTTGGCAGGTTTGGGGGGGTCTGTCCTTGGACCCCTGACAAAGGGAGCACTCAGTCCCCACCCTGGTGCCTCTCCCCACCCCCGCGTACAGCAAGCTGCCCTCCCTACTCTTCTCGGTCCCCAGGCTGCAGCACCAGCATGGCCACTCAGGCCCAGCCTGGACCGTGGGGGCCAGGGGTCTTGGCGGCTAGAATTCTGAGACCCCAGCCTCGGAGCTCGGCTGCAACAGGGCAATCGCCTGGCTGACCACTGTGTCCCTGGGTGGTGGCCAGGGTCAACCTGTCAACCTGGGGCCCCACTGGGCCAGGGCCCTTCCGTCCAGCATCAACGGCATTCCTCCTTTGGACCGTTGATCTTCCCAAATGGAAATTCAAAAGGAAGGCTCCCCGCTCCCCCCTCCACCGCCCCTCAGACCCCCGGCCCCCAGCAGACTGACACCATCCCCCCACTGCTGCTCTCATTCCTGGGACAACTGGGTAGGACGCATGGAGCTGCCGATCCTTTGGCCAGCCAGACCTTTCGTGAGTGGGACCCAGAGATCCCCTGTTTTGAACCCAGGGGTGCATGTTCCTGCAGCTGGCCTGGGACTCTGGGTTTGGATCAGTGGGACAGGCTGAGCCCACATGGCCTTCCTGTTCAAGGCCAGCACCTCCGCGGCCCAAGCCTGGCCCTGGAAACTCGCAGGACCCTCGGCCTTCTCTGTCCTAGCTGCTTCTTCAGTGAGCGTTCGCAAAGCCCTTGCCCAAATACATACCACCCGTTGGTAGCCTTAAAGCCTCAAAGCACTGGATTGTGGCCCCCCAGCCCCCTGCCCTGTCCCCCTGCCCCCCAGCCCCCTGCCCAAGTGACTGAAATCTACTGAGCTGTATTCACTGTGCTGTCCTGGGGGAGAGGCGAGGGGGCAGCGCCACCCAGGAGAGTCGGGCACCTTGCGCCCCTCCCGGCTGGGGTCGCGAGGCTGTGGCCGCTCCTGGTCGGTGGAGGTCAGCCGGGTATCAGAAGCCATGAACCTGTCTCCGCAGCCGCGAGCGATACTGTGACAAGACATTCCTGCGTGATTCCAGGAGCGTTCCTTTCCTCCTTGCATTCCAGTTTGTTATGTTCTTCCTTTCTGTCACCGATTCAGATTACCGTTTTGGGAAAAAAATAAAATAAAAACAAAAGGCAGCTTGAGTTTTCCAAATGTGCAATTCACTTGTGAGCAAAGTAATTCCGGAGGTTTCTATCGGTGTGTTTTATATCGTCGACGTTCCCGCAACGAGGGAAGCTGAGCTGATGTTGGAGAGCATCACGTAACGCGTACGTGTTTGCACCTGCTGGCAAGAATCCCGAACCTGTGTATCCACATCTCCCTCTTGCCATTGTTTCAGTACAGACTTGGTTCAGTTTGCTTTAGTTGTTTGGGTTTGTTTGTTTGTTTTTTTTCCTTTTAGAACTGTATAGTGTTGAAAAAGAAATCAAATGTAAATGTCAGGTTTTCATATAATGTTTAAAAAAAAAAAAAAACCATTGAGAAGGAGGCCGGTGTATGTCCCATGTCCCCCTGATTGTAAATTGCTTCTGTTATAAGTAAACTGTGCATGACTCGTGTTTAGCGGTCATTATCGTGTCTGTTTGTGAAATTTTTATGAAAAGGAAAATTCGGTAGATGCACTTGTTGAATATGTGATTAGGGTCTACGTCCTCCAGACGAGGAGCTCTGAACTGCTTGCGCAACAAGCGTGACTCGTGAGCAACGTGGGCATCACTGAAGGAGAGGATGAAGTGCAAGCCACCCAGTGTAGGAAATCATCGCCTGATTCTGCAGACTGCATTTTGATGCTTGTGATAAAGACAGATGTACTTGTGTAGAGAAGTGTCTTTAAGATGAAGCCTAGGAGCAGCTGATTTGAGGTTAATGCTGTAGGATAGGACTGTACACCAAATGTAATCTTTCCAATGCGACAATGAATTTATACATGAGATTGATATGCAATAAATCTGTGTGCTTTTCTAAGTCTCGCCCCCGGAGCTTCACTGAGGGAGAACGGAGGCCCTCGGGATGGGGGAAGGACCTGGGGTCAGAGCATGGCCAGGGGCGAGGCTCACCAGCCTGGGTCGAAAGTCCCCGGGGACAGGCTGTGAGACGTGCATAGCCATCACCTCAACACCACACCAGGACAGGTACCCTTGCTATTCACATTTTCCAGGAAAAAAAAATAAGCTCAGGGAAAGCACCAACTACCCTGGATGGCTCTGCAGTGAGTGGTGATCCCCAGGCTTTCTCACCCCTAAGTGTGTTTACCCCAAGGCATATTGGCCTCTAGGTGTGTACCCTCTAGGGGTACCCTTTTTCAGGAATGTCCACATCCAGGTGCGTCTGCCTCCAGGTGCACCTGCGCCCAGAGCCGGCCACCATGAACTCTTGCCTGGGACCTCTTTGTAGTAGAGGAGCCCACCCTGCAAGGCCAATCCTAAACACGCCCCTTCCTAAGGATGGACCTCCCCAGCGGCCAGCCCTCCTCACTGACCACCCTCCACACTGGCTGAGCCTGGTGTCCTCACACTGTCCCCAGCCAGGACCTGAGCCTGCCCACCAGGTGATGGCCAGATAGACAGAGACTGAGCAAACGCATGCCACCTACCTTCACCCACTCAAGTGTGGGGGACGGCCCCTAAATTCTGGGGACTTACACCATGAAGTCTTCCCGGTGGCCCCTCTCCTTCCACCAGAGCGTGGAGGTGAAGTGGGCAGCCTTGCACACTCAAAGAGGTATCTCTCTGACAGAACAACCTCCACCCTCGCCGAGATGGCACATGGCCCTCCCCAGGTGTGTGAGGCAGGAAGAAGATGAGATTATGGTGTCAAACAGAGAAATTGGGTGGCTATGCCTCTCTCGCTGCAGCTGTAGAAGTGCCTGGTTCAGAGTCTCTCCAAAGACAACCTCTCCAGGGGCGCCTGGGTGGCTCAGTCGTTGGGCGTCTGCCTTTGGCTCAGGTCATAATCCCAGGGTTCTGGGATCAAGCCCCGCTTCGGGCTTCTCCTCACCAGGAAGCCTGCTTCTCCCTCTCCCACTCCTCCTACTTGTGTTGCCTTTCTCACTGTCTCTCTGTCAACATGCAGGGACCCCTGAGCCTCTGTTCCCTGGTCAGAAATCATCACTTGCACTGGATTTACAATGTAAGGATGGAAAGTGCCAGGACTTACCTCTCTGTCCCCAAAGCCTGGACTTAAACACCTTCTCAGTAGAAGGTGGGTTACACAAGTGGATGGGTGGATGGATGGATGGATGGATGGTGGATAGATTATGGATGGATGGATGGGTGGATGAGCGGATGGACGGATGGATGGAAGGAAAGATGGATGAAAGGATAGATGGGTGGATGGTTGGATGGATGGATGGATAGTGGATGGATGAATGGATGAGCAGATGGATGGATGGAAGGATGGATGGATGGATTTTGGTTGGATGGATAGATGAGTGGGAGGACAGATGGATTTTGGATGGATGGATAGATGAGTGGAAAGACAGATGGATTATGGATGGATGGATGGATGGATTGTGGATGGATGGCTAAATGAGTGGATGGATGGATAGATGAGTGGATAGAGGGAGGGAAGGATGGATGGATTGTGGATGGATGGATAGATGAATAGATGGAGGGATGGAAGGATGTATAGATTATAGATGGATGGACAGATGGATGGATGAATGGATGGATGAGCGGATGGATAGATGGATGGATGGACAGATGGATGGATGGATAGATGAATGGATAGAAGGAGGGAAGGATGGATGGACTGTGGATGGATGGCTAAATGAGTGGATGGATGGATAGATGAGTGGATAGAGGGAGGGAAGGATGGATGGACTGTGGATGGATGGATGGACTGTGGATGGATGGATGGATTGTGGATGGATGGATAGATGAATGGATGGAGGGATGGAAGGATGGTTTGCTCCTCACTCCAGGCAAGTTCCCACACAGATTCTGGGAACTCCAGGGCCTCTGAGGGGCCTGAACATCCTCTGATGGGAGTAATAGGGAGGGGGAGGCCTGGGGTCCCTGCAACAGCAGTTCTGGCAGCCACCAAAGGCAAGAAACAGTTTCCCCAGTGAGGTGTTGGTTGGGGGAAGTGTTTAAATATGTTACAGTTGTTTTTCTCCCAGATGTGACTGACAAAAGTGTCGGTGAGGTCATAAGCCCCGATGGTCAGATGTGGGGTTCACCCTAGAGCTCCTGGCACCGAGGCAACATGAGAGGCTCCTCTCTGGGAAGTACATTTCTGTTCTCAGAGGACAGATTATGTGAATCATGAATCTGATGAATGGCTGTGCTTCCAAGTCATTCAGAGTGAAGGAGGGATGGTGTCCAGCACCCCCCCCAGCACCCCCAGCCCCCCCCAGCCCTTCCTGGAGCTACTACCCCGGGGCTCCAGTCAGCTGAAACTGCACTCCCTCCCTCCCTCCCTCAGCCTGGCCGCCCCCGAGGGGAAAGGGGAGTCTCTGCAACCAGGGCGCTATCTGATAATAGCCCTTTTGTCGGGGGGACCCCAGAGCAAGGGGAGAACAGAGACAAACAGAGCCCTGTTGACAAGTGGACTGTCTGTCTGCAGCCCGGCTCTTTGCATAAAGGACAGAGGAAAAGGCTCCATTTTGGAACGGGGTGGGGGGGCTGGGGGGATGGAGATCAACTAGAGAAAAATATGTCAATGAGGAATCTGTTTTCTGGGAAAAGAGATGCTTTTGAATTCCTCCTCAGATTCATTTTGGGCCAAGTGAGCCTGTTGGTTATTTGCAGAGATGCTATTTTGAGAATCGTTAACCTTATTTGTCGTGGCAGCAAATGTCTTCCAAAAATTGAGATGTGTCCTAATTCGGGGTCAAATGGCCAGACACAAGGGGGCGTTGGTGGGGCCAGAGGAGCCAGATAGGGTTCAGGGGCGTGAGGGGACTACCGGTCCCGCGCCAGGATGGCCACCAATGTGAAGGAAAGTGGGAACGTCTTCTGCACAGCTTATTCCTGATTCAAGAAAGGGAACGGAGTTTGCTCCAGGGTCCAGGGCAGAAGAGGACAGATTTCCAAGATTACAAGAAGGGGGAGCCCGGGCACCAGCTGAGACCCCACCGAGGCAGCCGAGACCCCCAAAGCCCCTAGGGAGGGAGCTGCCCCTTCTGTCCTGGGATCTGGCTTGTGGCCCTCGGATTCCGGAGCTCCCAACCAGGAGGTTCCAGGAAGCCCTCGAGACGGTAGAGAGAGGCAGCCAGCTTCTAGAACCCAGTGAGCAGAAGACCAGCCTCCACTCGAAGATCTGTATGCCCATGTTCACAGTGGCTTTATCCATAATAGTCCCAAACTGGAAAGAACCCGAATGCCAAGCCACTGGTGAGTGAAAGCACAAACCGTGGACACAAAGGAACCCCACCCCCCAGCCCCGAGAGCGGGCGAAATCTGCTTACTCAGAGCTCCAGGCAGCAGGGAGTCCGCCACCACCACCTGATTTAGCCAAGACTCAAATGTAGGCAGGGGAGCGGAGGAGCTTCGTGGTGGAAAAAGGGACGGTTCCAGGTGAGCCCGAGGCAGTAAGGAGAAGCATCCCACGTGATTGGTGGGGCGCACGCGGCTTCCTCTGACTGCTCTGGATGTGGAGGTGGGGAGAAAACTTAGAGAAGCTGCCAGTGATGGATCAAGTCCCGGCCATTCTGGATTATTGTTTGACCTTCTGGGTTGATTCTCGCAGATTGTGGGTCAGGGGTCAGAGTCCTGTTTTTAGGTCTGGTCTGGCCTTGTCTGTATGTTCAGTCTCTGAAACAGACTGAGCCAGACAGATGCGCACGAGCACAGGTATAGGAAAGAACACGACTCATCAGTAAAGAAAACCACCCCAGACACATACACAACAAAATGCGGCCAAGCCCTGCCCACCACCACGGGGTTCTGGGAGAGGCGAGCGGCAGGGAGGCAGGGAAGGGGCTGGGGTGGGGAGAGAGGCAGGGGGAGCTCTCGGGTGATGGAAGTGCTCCCTCATGATTGTGGTTACACAGCTACATGTTGGTGGAAGACTCAGCTAACCCTATACTTTGAAGGGAGGTCTTATTACAGGGACGCTGTACCTCAATTAACTTGACTCTCTGAAAACAATGTGTCCCGCTCACCCCCACCTGGAGGCATGGGTCCACCAAGTTCCAAGTCCCTAGACTGCTCAGGCTGGCAAGGGCTTGTCCCTACCCAGTGCCGCATGCCCTTGAGGAGCCCTTCCCCCACAGCACCCGGGCCGGAGTGGGGGTGGGGGGGCCCTAGCTTAGCAGAGGGCCAGCTCGGGGGCTCCCAGCCTCGCTTGGCCACAGGCATTGGGGTGAGCCCACCCTTCACCCCTTAGCTGCCCAAGCCCCGCCTGGAAGCACCTAGTGCAGAGCTTACAAGCACAGACTTCCAGCTGAAACCCTCCGCACAGAGTTTAAAAATGCCAGGAGCAGGACTGCAGGCTGGTTATGACAGCATCTGTGTGCAGGAAGTGAATAAAAACATGCACGAGGTGGATACCTACCAACCTCAGAGGAGGCAGAGAAGGCCGTGGGGGAAGGGCCGGGGAGGGGCTTCCATCTTCTCTGCAATGACTTGTAGACACTTTCAGGTCATGTAAAGGCATCAGGTCATGTACCAAAGAGATGGAGAGAGAGAAATAGTTCTCCTTCCTTTCCAAAAGGCATGCTTTTTCTGGATTTTTCTTGCCCCGCCGTCCTGGCGAGGACCAACAGGGAAGAGAAGCAGGGAGAGTGGACCTCTTTGCCTCGGTCCAGAACCCCAGGAGAGCGTTGTCCATTTCTCGCCATGGGGCACGATGCCAGCAGTAGGTGCCTGTATCCGGATGACAACGTCCCCTGCTGTCCCCACAGCACCCAGACATTTATCATCATGAAGTACTGGGTTGGGTCAAAAGCTTTATCTTTAATTTACAAGTGTCCATCTTTAAGTGACATTATACCACTTTGCATAAAATATCTGACCTTTGCA